GTCCAAAGTTGAAAAGTGATACTATTCATAGATTTTCCCCCTTCACTTCAATGAGTAAGTCATCCGATCAGCCAAAATCAGTGCAGCAGAAAATAAGTTGAGCTGAGGTAACGTAGCTAATGTTACCTAGCTAACTAGCTAGCGAACTACAGTGGTTGATCTAAAACAAAATCTAGCTGGCTAGCTTTCATAATACACTGGCCAGACATTCCAAATCAATGTAATTAGCCAGCTGCTACCAGGTGATGTCATTTGTAACTTTGCAAGCTAACGTTAGCTACAGCCTACCGGACCGTATCTAACCGTTAGCTAGCTAGCTAACTATCGCAGAGGCTAACGTGACTATGTGTTCTATTTAGAGTCTGATCCCATCAACATCAGCAGCGGCATCAACTTAAAGCTCCGCACCAGTAACTAGTGTAAGTCACCTTTACTAAATCTTTCCATGACTCCATGAGCAAGTACATGTACTGGAGCTAGGCATAAACATGTGTTTACAGGTAGGCTACAACTTCTACTGTAGTTTTCTTTCTCTCTGCATTATGGAGTTGACAGTTCATGCAAGGCTTGAAGTCTAAATTGGAGTGAAGCAGAAGTATTAGTAAGGAGGGGATGGTGTCGGTGACTGGTGTATGTTGGGGGTGTATGTGGAGATTAGTATGCATGATCTATTGACAGGAGTGGGTATAGTACCTTGTTTGAGTGTGTATTGATGGGGACAGAGTATTAATATTGGCTAATCACTGACTAATGTGTGTCCTACAGACTAATCCTGCTGCTGCTGATGACGATGACCTTGACACCAGCTTTAGTAGTACAGAGCCTGGAGACCAGGGGTCTCCAACACGTAGCCCACATATGAGTAGCTCGCCAATCAATTCTGAATTCTGTGTTCCATCGCAAACTGTCATAAACATCAGTGTCATAAACATCAAACTGTCATAAACATCAGTGTTCGAGTCCATAACCCACCACTTCAGGGAGAAGCTTATCCAACTGGCTCTGGAGTGCAGAAAGGACCAGACGGTTGTCTACAAGGAGCCAGAGTCACAGCTCCCCAAACCCAACATCCCTGACAACATCGCCAAAGCCTGCTAAACCAGCTACCGTTACCCAACACAAGATGAGGCTAACCAGCTGAAGAACATTCTGGAACTTGCCTGTGACATTCAATCAACACAACATTCGTATAGAATGCCTAGTTTGCTCACAACTTCATTGTGCTATATCGCTAGCTCTTGTACATACAATATGTATATAATGTTGTTTGATAAAATGTTTTATATAATATAATATAATGTTTTACAAGTGTACTGACAAGTGATTAAATCATTCTAGCTGCATCAGAAACCAATAAGTGTTGACTTCAACCTCTGGATCAATTCATTGTGAAATTCATGAAATGTATTTGGATAAACTAGCTCAAATTTGACATTTAAGAAGGCACACCTGTTAATACACATACAATAAACATACATACAGTTGAAGTCGGAAGTTTACATACACCTTAGCCAAATACATTTAAACTCAGGTTTTCACAATTCCTGACATTTAATCCTAGTAAAAATTCCCTGTCTTAGGTCAGTTAGGATCACAACTTTTATTTTTGTGAAAACCTGAGTTTTTTTGTGAAATGTCAGAATAATAGTAGAGAGAACTATTTATTTCAGCTTTTATTTCTTTCATCACATTCCCAGTGGGTCAGACGTTTACATACACTCAATTAGTATTTGGTAGCATTGCCTTTAAATTGTTTAACTTGGGTCAAACGTTTCGGGTAGCCTTCCACAAGCTTCCCACAATAAGTTGGGTGAATTTTGGCGCATTCCTCCTGACAGAGCTGGTGTAACTGAGTCTGGTTTGTAGGCCTCCTTGCTCGCACACGCTTTTTCATTTCTGCCCACAAATTTTCTATAGGATTGAGGTCAGGGCTTTGTGATGGCCACTCCAATACCTTGACTTTGTTGTACTTAAGCCATTTTGCCACAACTTTGGAAGTATGCTTGGGGTCATTGTCCATTTGGAAGACCCTTTTGCGACCAAGCTTTAACTTCAGGCCAAATGAAAAGATGCTGGAGGAGAGCTTGATGCCATCTGTCAAGCATGGTGGAGGCAATGTGATGGTCTGAGGGTGCTTTGGTGGTGGTAAAGTGGGATATTTGTACAGGGTAAAAGGGATCTTGAAGGAAGGCTATCACTCCATTTTGCAACGCCATGCCATACCCTGTGGACGGCGCTTGATTGGAGCCAATTTCCTCCTACAACAGGACAATGACCCAAAGCACAGCTCCAAACTATGCAATAACTATTTAGGGAAGAAGCAGTCAGCTGGTATTCTGTCTATAATGGAGTGGCCAGCACAGTCACCTGATCTCAACCCTATTGAGCTGTTGTGGGAGCAGCTTGACCGTATGGTACATAAGAAGTGCCCATCAAGCCAATCCAACTTGTGGGAGGTGCTTCAGGAAGCATGGGGTGAAATCTCTTCAGATCACCTCAACAAATTGACAACTAGAATGCCAAAGGTCTGCAAGGCTGTAATTGCTGCAAATGGAGGATTCTTTGACGAAAGCAAAGTTTGAAGGACACAATTATTATTTCTATGACTACATTTCCTATTCATTTTGCTATATTTCCTATTCAAACTCATGTATTTTTTCATGGAAAACAAGGACATTTCTAAGTGACCCTAAACTTTTGAACGGTAGTGTATATAATGTGTGTATACATGTATTTATACATGTGTATATATATGTGTATGTATGTATGTATGTATATACAGTAGAATAAAAATATACTACTAACGCCTATAATAAATTCTACAGTTCTACAAAGGGAATACTGGCATATGGTGTGTTTGGGTGTTGGATTGAGGTGTTCGGAGTCACTTTGCTACAAGGGCAGACTGTTGTTATGGGGCCTTTTACATCTCCTCTTGAGTCATCAACTTCTTTGTATTCAAGCGGTATTGTCTGTGTGAGAGAGACAAAAACGCTATTAGACATTCATGGGTAGTTGTGTTCTGTCTGTTTTCCTACTTTAGCAGCATGATGTATAATGAGAAATCTCAGACACGTTAGCTAGCTAGCTACAACACACAGGTATAGTTACTCAGACTAATATGAGTCATAAGGCCTAAGTCATCACTTTACGCTTCATCAAACATTTCTCCAGTTTTGCTCCTAACGAGATGCACTTAGGCTAGTTAGCTAGCTAGCTATAACGTTAGACTACAGTACCTTTTAGGTATACAAACGAAGCTAGCTAGATATACTTGACTAGCTTGGCTTGTAGTGGTACTAGCAAGCCCTGTTACGGCTGAATTGTACTAAATTGTACTATACTGAACAACCCTGCCTCGTATAAAAAGAGGGCTTATATTTCTAGCTAGATACCGACTGCAAAACAACTAACTAGTTTGTCATTTGGCCTCCTGGTCCAGTTGGTCTAGGCTGCCGCCAGCACCCCTCTATGTGTGTGTCGAAACTTTGATGATCTGTCACACACACACGATCCATGGGGTCTGCAGTGACCCTCTCCAGTAAGAACTGTCCGTGATCTAATTTGTTGCAGCACAGACATTCCTCCTCTGTCGGCATGGCTAGACAGCACCCGCATAGGCCCACCAGTCGGTTTCTGACAGTGGCTCCCCAGTATTAGGAGCGGGGGCGGCTGCAGCGGTCGCTGCTTGCTGGTCTCGCAATTATTTATCTTGCTCCCGTGAACCTGTAGAAACTAGTACTGCCCCCGTTTTTAAAAGCCTGCCTTCGAGGGTGGGAACGCAATTGGACAAGGAAGTAGGGCTCCCGTCAGGCTGTAGTATTTCAAAGGCAGGGAAAATGAGTCAACCTAGATATCCTGCAATGTCCTGGCATATTCGAACATCGTTGCAAAGTCCAATGGCTCTATTGAACAAGTACACCATATCTACTCCCTGCTAGTGTGATTGTGCAATCAGGCGAAACACAAAGGCCACAATAATTGCTACAAAACATGACTCCATTCATTTTTAGATCAGATGGCAGGCTCAATCAACCGATGATGTCATTGGTTGAACTCTCCCTGTGCGAAAACAAAATACCGCTATAGTGCATAATTATGTCTGAAACACCTCTCATCGCTCAGATTTATGTAGGGAGACTGGGAAAAACACCCCAAATAGTGTGTAGCTGTGAAGTTTCCCTTTAACTGTTTTGAATGATTATCATGTTTTCAGGCCAGAACTGTTGTCAGGCTGATTCCCTAAAGGTTTCTCTTCAGGAAGTGGACATTTCCCATTTCTTTGGTTGTGTTTTCATAGATTAATTTAACATGCAGCAGTTACATTTAGTAGCTGATAGGAATGAATGTGAAGCCCATTTCAGTCATGTTAATGCCCAGAGTCAGCAAGGACCTGTTTTTCTGCATTGGGTTAATTATAGGCCTGACATTTCAGTTAACTTTCCGATCACATGAAGTCCACGTTTCCCATGTAACTCTTTCTACTGTCCTCATTCAAGTTCTCTCTCTTTCTCCCTCTCTCTCTCGATCTCTCTGTCTACCGTAGCTGTGTATTCCTGTAGAGTCTTGTGTAAAGCGTTTTAGCTTTAAGTAGCTAGATTTCCTCACTTGTCGTGTCGGCTAATTCCTGTAACAGGGAGCATGATTTAATGGTCTAACCAAGAGTTACTTTCCACTTCATTGATGTTTGGCCTGTGCTTCCTGCATTGATTAGAAATGCAGGGCTGGCATTCACCCATTATATGTACCATACGCTGCAGAATGATTGCACAGAATTTCCTCTTTCTTTGGCTAAAATAAACTCCCCATTGTTATGTGGGTATAACATCGATACTGGGCACAAATAATCAATTGATTAGCTTATACCATTAACCTACAGTAGACCTTACGAATGACTGAACCATTGTCCCTCTTTCATGGAGAGGCTAGTTGCAAATAGAGCATCTTTCTCCATCTTTAAACTATGGAAACTGTCTAATTGAGTGTCTCCCCCACCCCAGGCTCCAAGTCCATGGACTACTCCAACGGCCTGTTTGACTGCCAGTCACCCACCTCTCCCTTCATGGGCAGCTTACGGGCGCTGCACCTGCTGGAGGACCTCCGGGGCGTGCTGGAGCTGATGGACACCGAGGAGAGGGAGGGCCTGCGCTGCCAGATCCCCGATGCCACCGCAGACAGCCTGGTGGACTGGCTGCAGCAAGGACACCTGGTGGTAAGACCAGTCAAAAGTAGTGCACTATATAGGGAATAGGGTGCTGTTTCGGATGTATCCACTCATGATCATAATGATAATCTCAGTGGGTCAATTTGGTTTAATGTATCGCATTGTGAGGACTGCAAAGTCTTCCTGGTTTCGCTGGTGAAAGAACATTTACTTTGATATCTAGCACCTACTATAAGCCATGTATATTAACTTTAAATCCCTTGTCACACCTAATGTGAGAGACACACACAAATCTGTGATTAGATTTTTAAAAAAGGAGAGGACTAAGAGAATGTCATAAAGACAGACGTACTGTACACAGACATGGGAGACGAATGTTACATTCCGTTAAAGTTCATGTTCAGCTCTGATGACATCCCCCTTGTCACATCAGTCTCCACAGCGGTGTCGCGCTACGGCTTGTGTTTGTCCAGACATGTCATGGTGTGTGTAAATATAGGCCTGCTGTTGCTGTGTCCTGATTTAGGGTGTGAAAAGGTTATAACCACACAGTGGACATCTTTTGTTGTGGCGTCTGAGTTATTCCCTCCTGTGTCACTACAGACAACCTGTTAGAAACCTGTCTGAGACTGTCGTGGGGAATCTGGGATGGTATCTTGATGAGCTCTACTGCTATTTAAAGGATACGAACGGTATGGTATGAGGGGATACATTATCACAGACATTTCCTGGTCAGGTTTGGTAGCAGAGTAGCAATATAGAAACCCTCTAAATATTGGTGAGGGGCAATGTTGGTTGGGGTTGAAGTGCCATAGGACTGCTAGAGGATCTCGCTGTACAGCAAACCAGCCAACATGCCCTTAACAAAAAAGGCAACTGGTTCGAAATGTTGGGTCTTTGTGCCGGCTAATAATAATAAATTAACGATTAAGCCTATACATTTAGCTCTCTGTGTGTGCTCTCCATTCCATTCGGTTTTGCAGCTGATTTACAGTGAAAATGTTTCTTGAACAGTCTTGGTTCAAACAAACTAGATGAAGCCCATCTGGTACATGATCAGCCTGCTCACAGTTCTTCAGCCTATCCTCACTTTGAATGTTTCAAAAACACCTCTAATATCAGGCTGCGTTGTCCAAGAACAGTGTCTCTGAATGTACAAAGCAAATATCTCCCTGAACTCTTACTGTATGATGTAGTTAGTATTCCCCTGGAAATGTGAGATAAAACCCAGGTGTTGTCACAGACCGCTGTGAGAAACAACCCACTGATATGTTGGGATTGGGAACCAACAACATGTTGCCGAGACAGCACTGAGATTTGGGCTCTGGGCCAGGGAAATGCCTGCGCTTGTGTGTAATCCTATAACTCTCTCTGTGTGTATACTAGTCTCTGAAAATGGTCCCCTCTTCGACCATTTGAAGGTGTTGTTGGCAAAGGAAAGGGAAAATGCAACATCAATCACGCTAGCTGTCACTCGAAGACTCTCATGTTCGATTGTTGTGCGATAATTGTCCGTGTTCAAGGTACTTCAAATATGCCCTGTTCACCCTTGAAAATACTTCCGTGACCAATGGTGCCACAACACCACTCTTTAGGTTTATCTGACTTTATCTTGATACATGAAAGTAACAAAATGTCACTTTTTGGGCGACCCGACCAAATTCACATAGAAATGTGAGTTACAAAGCTATCATTCTACTTGAAAGTAAGTCTCTAAGAAATGATAGATATGTGCTATATCTATGCTTCCCATTCTTAAGTTTTGTTTTTACATCTTTTACTTTCGGTTTTGTACACCAGCTTCACACAGCTGGAACAACAATACTTTTCATTATGGAATATATATTTCATAGCGGTTTAGATGGTACAATGATTCTCTACACTATACTTGCTTTTTTTGTCACATAATCTGAAATTAGGCAAACTATTAAGAGTTTTAGCAACCAGGAAATTGCACAGCGATTTCTGCATAGTGCAACGTTAAGCACTGAGGATGTCACCAGCCTTACCAGTGTAGTAGAGGCTTAATCTTAGAACCCAAAACCACATCTTGCGTCCACGCTGGCCAGCTACTCATAACTTAATTAACATTGATGTTAAGTCTGTCACTAGGGACTATTGGAGTCTGAATGTTAACACTCACAGACCAATCCCATGTGTCACTCTCTCACTGACTCTCCATGTTGTCTTCTCTATGCCTGCCTGCAGTCCAATGGCCACCACATCTCCATGGGTGGTGACCTCTACCAGGAGAGACTGTCTCGACTGGAGGGTGACAAGGAATCCCTGGTGCTTCAGGTACTGTACAGTACACAACAACATGCCGTAGCTAGTAGCTATCCTACCCAGGCAGCATTAATGGCTCATTAAATTATGTTACAATAGTATTAATAATAATAATAATAATATGCCATTTAGCAGATGCTTTTATCCAAAGCGACTTACAGTCATGCGTGCATACATTTTTGTGTATGGGTGGTCCCGGGGATCGAACCCACTACCTTGGCGTTACAAGCGCTGTGCTCTACCAGCTGAGCTACAGAGGACCAAGTATTGATTGGTCTAGGCTGCCGCCGTCAGTTGATCTAGGAGGTTCTGAACGTCTCCAGCACCCCTCTATCCGTGCATCGATGGTCTGTCACACACGATCCATGGGGTCTGCAGTGACGTTCTTCAGTAAGAACTGTCCTCGATCAAATTATAAGTGGCCTTTTTAGTGCAATGAAGTGAAATGAACGTAGCCTGGTCCCAGATCTGTTTGTGCTATAAGCCAAATCACAACATTGTTTGGGCATGACAACCACCATAGGAGTTGGCTATACAGCACAAACAGATCTGGGACAGGGCTATATAATGAACTTGGTGTAATAACAAAAACTCAATCAACTCCATTACTTTTCAAATACAAAGCACTATGCACCATAATAATGTTAATGTTACAATTGTAATGACAGCGTAACTACACAGGTATTAGAGTTACTTAAAGTGTTACCCTTGTGTTCCTGTGCAGGTGAGTGTGTTGACAGACCAGGTGGAGGCGCAGGGGGAGAAGATAAGGGACTTGGACATGTGTCTGGATGAACACCAGGAGAAACTGAACGCCACTGAGGAGATGCTACAACAGGTCAGTTTGGATGAGAACGGCCCCTGAAAAATGGGTCTCTGTTGAAGTTATATCGTCAACACTGCTGAACAACAAAACCCAGCAAGCAAGCCAAGCTGTGTATGTGTTTATATTTGGCGTGTTTTGTGATTTCACAGGAGCTCCTGTGCAGAACGACTCTAGAGACTCAGAAACTGGACCTAATGGCTGAGGTGTCCAACTTGAAACTGAAGCTGAACTCATTTGAGAAGGACAGACTACACTTTGACCTCAGGGACAGTGAGGTATGGGATGGGAGGCCTCTGTTTAAGGACTGATTCTTCTTACGGTCTTTCTCTCTCCCTCTCTCTTTCTGACACACACACATATACACACACACACTTACCCTTTCATGCTGCCTGACACCTGTGTGGGGGAGGGAAGGCTTGCGTCATCATGTGCTCAAAGCCGCAGTGTGTGTGTTGGGGCAATAAAAGAGACCATTCACTTCCAAGGGAATGCCAGACTTGCTATGGCCAGACGCACTGTAATTGTGTTTTGTTTGAAGGTATGAATGAGTTGCTCTTATAAGAACGTGAAGCTTCAGGGTTTTAATAATAGGAAATTGGAAGTATTTTTCCTCTGGTTGTATGGTTGCAAACAATGAACAAAAGGTTATGTTCATATCTTGTTTACGTGGAAGTTTGGAGCAAGTTTGGGGGGGGGGGGGGTGTATTTGGACTCCAATGAACTGTGGTGGATTCTTGGACGGCTCTCAAACATGTCATGTTATTGTTGTTATGGCACAGCTTCTCTTCCAGTCCACTGGAACAGTGAGCTGCTGTCCATTATGTTCCACTTCACAGCCTATCTGGGAGAGCAGAGCACAGAGGCACTCCCCACCAGAGGCACTTTCCTCTCACATCTCCAAACCTGCTCTGGGATTTCTACTGTCCCTGGAAAGCAGTCCCTCCAGAACACGATATGTTCTCCATGGGGATCAGTAGTAGGCCTTGGAGAATGTAGGAGAAAATTATAATATGGTTCTCGGGATAGGCTTCTTTTGATAAAAAAAAAAAAAAAAGTAACCATTTACTTTAATAAGGAGAAGCCACACACTAATGGCTCCGATGCAATAAATGTAATAAACTAACGTTTCGACAAATAAGCTGCCTTCATCAGGGTTCAAAATACTTTTTTTTTATAAAATGAAAACCAAGGCCAAGTTTTAAAGTGGAACTGGAATTCTCCAATTAACCTACAACATTGTTTTACATGTCGATGTTAGGTAAACTTGTTGAACGTGATGAAAATGCTTTTAGAACATATTAGATGTTTTTTTTGAGCGCCTAGTACAAGCTAAGAGAGATATGGCCGCAGCCATATTGAAACAATGTAATGGTAATGGTAGAGCATCCGCGCACCTACTTTACTCATGGCATTTTAATTAAGACTGATCAAGAAGTGAATAAACTAAAAGCTAAAACTACCAATTTTGAGATGGGAAAAACAATAAAATACTAACAATCATGTTAACAAGCCTGTATAGTCCGGTCAAAAATCCCCTTGCATTCGTTTTTGAGCTCATTCAGCTGTAGGCTACATTACATTGATTTTAACATGGGCAGGGACATCAGATCTACTGTTACCCGACATTAACATTAGTAAGCTAGCTAAATGTCCAAAATAACAAAGCAGGTAGCTAGCATCATCAAGCCTGTATAGTCCAGTCAAAACCCCACTTGCACATGTTTTTGTGTTCATTCAGCAACAAGGTCTAGCTGTGTTAAACATTACAGTAGTTTTGACATGGTCATCGGATCGTATTGTGTTAGCCGAAGTTAGCCAGCAAGCTAGCTAACAGCAAACAAGGTTAGTAAGTTAGCTAACTGCATGGTAATGCCAACAATAATAAATAATAATATGCCATTTAGCAGACGCTTTTATCCAAAGCGACTTACAGTCATGTGCGCATACATTCTTACGTATGGGTGGTCCCGGGGATCGAACCCACTACCCTGGCGTTACAAGTGCCATGCTCTACCAATTGAGCTACAGAGTACCACAATAATAGTCACATTTGCAGGCAGATTGTGTACACTATGCATAAAATAGTATTCAATATGGTTTGCAGTGAGGGACTTCAAATGTGCCAAACCTAGGAGAGGCTATCTAGCTTGATGGGCTAGAAAAACTAGTTTTCAGTCAATGCAAGCTAGCTAGCTAGCTAAGTGTCTGTTCTGAAAGAGTTAGCTGCAGACGTGTAGGTATGTTAAGTGTCTACTCCTATTAATTCAATTGCAGCTAGTTGTGATATTTACCAAATGATGCTGCCAATGTCCATAGTAAAATTCATAATCCATTGTAAAATCCTGCGCTGTAGCAAGCTGTTCTGCTAACGTCACTAGCTAGCAAAATATCCATCAATGATAGCAGAGCTTGCCGGGGTTTTGAACTAGTTGGCTAGATATGATAGCCCACCTTGCACAGTATAAATGTTTTTGTCAATTTAGCGTTCATGCCATTTTACAAAGCACTTATTTTCATATTTTTTGTTGTAAAAATAAAGACATTCTCAATGAGGCTACTAACATGCATTGTAATCTGGGCTGCCTTTCAGACGAACCATTCAAGTGATGCCATTGATGACATGTTATCAAGATGGCGGCATGCAGTAGTCAGATGAGGCCATTTTCAAAAGTTTTTACGTAAATGAGTTTTTCAGTAAGGGTAGGAACATACTTTATCACATTTGGTTATCAAAATCACCTTAACTTACTAAAATGTTTCAGTTCGTCTTTAACGTATGTTACATAGCACATGATCCCAGAGGAACAAGCAATCTTACTGTATCTTACTGGTTTATCAAGCGATCAGGGTGACTGTTGCTCTATGACTCCTTTTACTTCTGAGAAAATCTCTGATTTAACAAGCATGTATACAGCTTCCCTCCTTCCCCAGTGCACTGTGGGTAATGCAGTCTTTCTCTCCCCTCTTAGGACATGGGTCTGGAGATTAATGAGCTGAGGTACAGAGTGACCGAGATGGAGAGTGAAAGACTTCAGTATGAGAAGAAACTGAAATCCACAAAGGTTAGTTATCATTAAGTAGGGTTGGGCTACCTACACTGCAGTATGTAAGCATAATTCTGCAGATAATTATCTACTTCCAAAAGGAAAACTTTTCACTGTAGCCATTTATTCTTTATACTTATATCCTCTTCTTTTGACTACTTGTCAACTCTTGGGTATCGTTGTGGCAAATTCGTCCTTATACTGATCAAAGAACCAAAGTATTTCCAGAGTTTTTGTAGAATTAAGATAGACTTTATTACAATGGACAAAGCTGAGTGGTCTGCAGAGCATCTCCTTTTCCACCTCCCAGCTCTCAGTTTATATAGTCATTTTACATACATTTTAGCTTAACCCCTCCCTCTTGGGTTGCCCCACCACTGTCTCCAGTTTCCACCTCTTGACCGCTCCGGTCTGACTTCTCTATGTATTCAGTTTGGAAACAATGGTGGTGCGACCAATCAAGCCTTGTCATGCAAAATCATGTTCAGTTTGAACTTTGTTCAACCCCGGCTCACCCTGGCTTGACCTGGAGATTGACTGTGGACATGGCAGGTCCACAATCAATCTCTCAAACATACCCAAGCCCAACCCCTCTCTCCCACCCCGTCTTGCTGTAATTAATCTAGAAGATGCCCAAGGAGAGACAAAGGGTTTAGCCTAAACTCTGGTCAACCCCGGCTCGTTCCCGGAATATGCCTAAGGAGAGCCACAGGGTCACAGTCTGGTTTCAGTCACTGATAAGATAAGACAACTGTAGAATCTGACCAGAACACGAACACAGGTCAGATGCCCATTTCACACACACAAACCCAGTGAGAGGAACCAATTCAGTTCTTGCCTAGCAACAGAGATGTACCCATGTTTAACCCTGGCTCCGTGTTCGTCATGCTGTGATTAACTTTGTTTATCTTATAGTTTACTGAAAAATCCTCATCATATCCCCCCTCTGGGACTTCATAGGTCCCACATCCTTACAAAAGTATACAGTTGAAGTCGGAAGTTTACATACACCATTTTTACTGTTGTTTTGATCAACAGGGATTTCAGCAACGGCAACACACAGCAAAAAACTATTCCCATTACTACCAGTGCTATGCTTATTATCATTGCCAGTTTAGTGAACATTGCTCCCCATTTTCCAAAAGTTAAGTCCAACCAATCCCAGGCACGTGCGTCCTGCCCAGCATTGTTCTTGACTTCCTGTCTCAATCCTTTAAGCTTGATCATTGCCTCAGAGAATGTTCCTCCTGGGGCAGTATTATTAGGAATAAACGTGCAGCACTCGCTTCCAAACATAACACAGACTCCTCCTTTTTCTGCTAGGAGCCAATCGAGAGCCTGTCTATTTTGCCAGGTCATTCTACTTGCTGCCTGTACTTGTTCTCCCAGCGCTGACAATGCTGAGGCAGTATAATTTATGAACCTCTTTTGATTGTAATATATGTAATTGATCCATTCCAAATTTTTATTAGGAATTATCCAAAGAAGTATTGGTTCAAATCCTGATTTAATCTCACTCCTAGCTTTAAATTAATTGGGAATTCCTCTAGGTTGGCCTATAGCATATATTTGTATGTTCAGATTGGCTTCATATGCCCTTTTTGATCTTTGTATTTTAGTATCTTGTATATCAACTTTTAAAGCCTTCCAGTCAACTATTACAACTTTTTGTATTAGCTGTACTCTGGCACAGATCCCTTTCCATCCTTTTGGTAATAATGTCCTTAGTTGCCCCTGACAGACCCAGAATCTGCAATGGCCACTGACTGATCCTCATACGGAGCGATTAGCGGTAATGCCAGTATCTGATTTTCGTATATTTCCGGGGTAACTATTACCCCAGTACTTGACCCTACTGCCTGATAGATTTTTAATTGAGGGGTGTTTGCATTCCAAAGGCTATCTGTATCTAGGTGCCATGTAGTTTCACATTCTCCTTTGAATTCTCCCAAATTATATAACTCGATTGTTTTATTGTAACACTCATATTTTTGCTCATATTCTATTTGATATTTCTCTGGTGCTTCCCTTTTCCTTGTTTCTATTTTAATGTCTAATTGCTTACACTTCTCTCCCCATCCTGGTTGATTATAAAATTGTTTATATTTAGGATTTCCTAAATATGACAAACATTCTGCTGGGCAATACGGTCTTTCCGAGTTCCTTAGATGACAGAAGTTGTGGTTGAACGTAGCACAGTCCTGGTAACTGTGGGGATTTGGAACTACTGTTAAATCCTTTAAAGGAGATGAAGTGCATATTCGACAGTTTTCTTTCTTTAATTTTAATGTAGCATATTGTGCCCATCTATACCAGTCATTGTTTAGCACCTCATTCCATTCCCTTTCTTCTGCGTCTGGTGAGGCTCTAACAGGTAAGGGGTTTAGTGCACTTTCCCAAGGAATAACTACTTCAACAACCCTGCCCCCTGGAAATGTAGCACTTATAAGTACTACATTAAATTGTTTATCTAAGTCTTGGGCTGTTATCCTTATGTCTATGATCCACCTGTCTTTTTCTTTTATTATCTTGAGGTCACAGTTAACCCATGTGATTTCCCCATAATCCTTGTGCTGGTTCCTCCCACACCAATAATAATTTGACCCTCGTACTTAATAGCGATCCCTTTCTGTACTTCAGTTGTGGTTCCTGCTTGGGCAGGAATATACATTCTAATCTTGTCTTTCTCTTCTCTGTCTTGTTCTTGTGCTCTTTACTATAGTCAGTATGCCATTTTCCTTATTCAACTGTTCTGGTTTCCAATTTCTGTTAGGGGACTAGTCAAGGGTAGAGAAATCAACGGTGGGGAAATCTGGTGAGTCTTGGTTGTCTTGTAGGTTATTGGAGGTCTGGGATGTCTTGGAGGTCTTTTGGAGGCCAATGTTAATGTCACCTTTTAGAATCCACTGTCTTTGACTCTCGCAAAGATTCTCCAACCCCACTAAATGTAATACTTTTTCCTGTCGCAAATATAGTCAATTTCTCAGCGTAAGGAATCAGTGATATTTTATCCCAAGCATCTATTAAAAAGTAGTTTGAGACGTAGTCTCCTACATCGCCCTTAACATACATACTGTAGGGGACTTCATCAATCCTGGAAGAAAGAGTCCTACTCAAGACACATCATATAATACCGTGTTCAATTAAGAGGAAAAGACACCTTATAAAATAAACAAACCAAAAACCCCTTTCGGATAATCCAATCATTGCAACCAGTGATCTGGGTCAACAGCATCAATGTAACAGTTTTGCTTCCGTCCCTACCTGGGCTTGAACCAGGGACCCTCTGCACACATCGAAAACAATCACCCTCGAAGCACTGTTACCCATCGCTCCACAAAAGCCACAGCCTTTGCAAAGCAAGGGAAACAACTACTTCAGGGTCTCAGAGCGAGTGACTTCACCGATTGAAACGCTACTAGTGCGCACCGCTAACTAGCTAGCCATTTCACACCGGTTAAACTCACCCCCCTTTGACCTCCTCCTTTTCCGCAGCAACCTGTGATCACAGGCTAAAACATGGAAACTCTTCTATTCTTACTAGTAGACAAAAAATAAAACCCATTCTCAAACAGCGTTCTGCGTTTACCTCTATCGTAGGGTTAAAAAACTAACTTGACAACTTTCACAATCCTAGATTGCTGTTGTAGCTTTATGTTTTGGTTCAGTGTCTCTGTTAGGGTGTTGGGTCAGTAATATTTCTGTAGTGATCTCAGCTAAAAGTTTTTATATTCCTCAGTTAATGGTATCTTTCTCCCTAATATATCTTCGTACTCTGCTTCTTTCCCAAAATGCATTTTTATCCCTTGTGTTCCTTTTTAATATTATTTTATTCTCTGTTCTCTCGTCTCATTTCGCTAGACCACCCCCTATTTTACCCTAATAATATTCACGTTTCCATTTTCGTACTCTAGGTATCCCGTATCCAAATCCCTATACCTTCTTTTCCTGTCCTTCAGTATGTCTATATCATACGTTATTATTTTTATGTTTGCTGTCACTGTGTAATCCGCTATTGTATATCCCCTTATCCTATACTTAAATGCGGCTGGTTCTCGTTCTAATCTTAAAAATAAAAAAATAAAATAAATTGGTCATTTAGCAGACGCTCTTATCCAGAGCGACTTACAGGAGCAATAAGGGTTAAGTGCCTTGCTCAAGGGCACATCGACAGGTTTTTCACCTAGTCGGCTCGGGGATTAGAACCAGCGACCTTTCGGTTACTGGCACAACGCTCTTACCCACTAAGCTACCTGCCGCCCTTACCCACTAAGCTACTACACCACCTTAGCTCCGCAATGAGTGACAGTCATATAATGCTTAACCTTATCTCTATCAAATGATCTATGTATTCTTTCCCACCCCTCACGTACGTCTGTTTTGAGTGCGCAAGTTAGTATATTTAATATTATTCCACTTATTACTTCATCAAATCTCTAGTAATCGATTACACGCACATAAAATTCACCATATCGTCATATATTCACATCAACCAATCAATTTGCGTTTTTAATGATTCTCCATTGCCACACATCCACTTATCACAATCTACTCCCAGCCGAACCAAAAACAACACTTCAGATTGCGAATCATTTTCCACATTTATACCACTCCCATATCACATTCACACAATGTTATTCTCAAACACACTTAATCACTATTTGTATAACCTGCAGGAATATATTCTTCTATAAAAGGCCCCAAATTTGGAATGTCAACCCTATCACATTTACCATTTTACTATAATCAATTTTACCATCCTAAATCCCATCTAAGTTTTCCAAATCGAATGGCCGAAACAAACTCTAAAAGATTGGCCGAAATACAATGTCTAGATGTCATACAACCACACCAGTACAGATAAGCAGCCGCTCGTGCCAACATGAATCGAACAGAATGGCCAGCAGGATGAACAAATTAATCAAATGAATTGAACAAATGCACCAGACGAACAACCAAGTGACCTCGATGAATTGAATGGCCGAATTTAGTCAGACCAGTTGACCAAGATGAACGGATTGCTTTCGCAAACTCGAACAGGTCCAATAAAACCAGTATAAAAAAGTATTTGATCCCCTGCTGATTTTGTACGTTTGCCCACTGACAAAGAAATTATCAGTCTATAATTTTAATGGTATGTTTATTTGAACAGTGAGAGACAGAATAACAACAAAACAATCCAGAAAAATGCATGTCAAAAATGTTATGAATTGATTTGCATTTTAATGAGGGAAATAAGTATTTGACCCCCTCTCAATCAGAAAGATTTCTGGCTCCCAGGTGTCTTTTATACACGTAACGAGCTGAGATTAGGAGCACACACTTAAAGGGAGTGCTCCTAATCTCAGTTTGTTACCTGTATAAAAGACACCTGTCCACAGAAGCAATCAATCAGATTTCAAACTCTCCACCATGGCCAAGACCAAAGAGCTCTCCAAGGATGTCAAGGACAAGATTGTAGACCTACACAAGGCTGGAATGGGCTACAAGACCATCGCCAAGCAGCTTGGTGAGAAGGTGACAACAGTTGGTGCGATTATTCGCAAATGGAAGAAACACAAAATAACTGTCAATCTCCCTCGGCCTGGGGCTCCATGCAAGTTCTCACCTCGTGGAGTTGCAATGATCATGAGAATGGTGAGGAATCAGCCCAGAACTACACAGATCTTGTCAATGATCTCAAGGCAGCTGGATCATAGTCACCAAGAAAACGATTGGTAACACACTATGCCGCGAAGGACTGAAATCCTGCAGCGCCCGCAAGGTCCCCCTGCTCAAGAAAGCACATATACAGGCCCGTCTGAAGTTTGCCAATGAAAATCTGAATGATTCAGAGGAGAACTGGGTGAAAGTGTTGTGGTCAGATGAGACCAAAATGGAGCTCTTTGGCATCAACTCAACTTGCCATGTTTGGAGGAGGAGGAATGCTGCCTATGACCCCAAGAACACCATCCCCACCGTCAAACATGGAGGTGGAAACATTATGCTTTGGGGGTGTTTTTCTGCTAAGGGGACAGGACAAGAAGTGGCTCAAGAAGAAGCACATTAAGGTCCTGGAGTGGCCTAGACAGTCTCCAGACCTTAATCCCATAGAAAATCTGTGGAGGGAGCTGAAGGTTCGAGTTGCCAAACGTCAGGCTCGAAACCTTAATGACTTGGAGAAGATCTGCAAAGACGAGTGGGACAAAATCCCTCCTGAGATGTGTGCAAACCTGGTGGCCAACTACAAGAAAAGTCTGACCTCTGTGATTGCCAACAAGGGTTTTGCCAACAAGTACTAAGTCATGTTTTGCAGAGGGGTCAAATACTTATTTTCCTCATTAAAATGCAAATCAATTTATAACATTTTTGACATGCGTTTTTTTGGATTTTTTTGTTGTTATTCTGTCTCTCACTGTTCAAATAAACCTACCATTAAAATTATAGACTGATCATGTCTTTGTCAGTGGGCAAACGTGCAAAATCAGCTTGGGATCAAATACTTTTTTCCCTCACTGTACAAATACTATTCCCCGTTCATTCAGTCCTCTGGTTTTTACACCAAAGCTGTATCCACGGTCCTTATATAGAAATACTTATCTTACAATAACACCTACCCGTATAACCCCCTTCCTGATACACACAGAGACGGCTATATCCATAGGACGTCACTTATCTTACAATGCCTACCCGTGCAGTCCGCTATCGATACTTCTTCTAACACAATAGTGCGGTAGCCATAGGACGTAACTCATATACAAAAATCAAAATCAACATTGCATGCATGCTTATTTCTCATTCGAACAAAAACTCTGTACTTTTCCTAAACTTAGCCCATAATTCTGGAGAGACCCGGTACCTGACATTCAGAATCAGCCGAGTGAACCACACAATTTCTATACTAAAAGTAAGAACTCTGCTTACCTCTGTTTACAGTGGGCTCTGTGGTTGTGTGATTCGTTCAGCCTCCTTCCAAATAGCGCAGCAACCCTATGGTTTCTTTTTCCAGTCCCTTCGTGGTCGGCAATTATGTTCAAATTCGTTCTTATACTGATCAAAGAAACAAAGTATTTCCAGAGTTTTTGTAGAATTAAGATAGACTTTATTACAATGGACAAAGCCGAGTGGTCTGCAGAGCATCTCCTTTTCCACCTCCCAGCTCTCAGTTTACATAGTCATTTTACATATATTTTAGCTTAACCCCTCCCTCTTGGGTTCCCCCACCACTGTCTCCAGTTTCCACCTCTTGACCACTCTGCCCACTTCCTTAGTTTATGATAGTGGCAAAATCTGACTTCTCCTCTATGTATTCAGTTTGGAAACAATGGTGGTGTGACCAATCAAGCCTTGTCATGCAAAATCATGATCAGTTTGAACTCTGTTCAACTCCGGCTCACCCTGGCTTGACCTGGAGATTGACTGTGGACATGGCAGGTCCACAATCAATCTCTCAAACATACCCAAGCCCAACCCCTCTCTCCCACCCCGTCTTGCTGTAATTAATCAAGAAGACGCCCAAGGAGAGACAAAGGGTTTAGCCTGAACTCTGTTCAACCCCGGCTCGTTCCCGGAATATGCCTAAGGAGACCCACAGGGTCACAGTCTGGTTTCAGTCACTGATCAGATAAGACAACTGTAGAATCTGACCAGAACACGAACACAGGTCAGATGCCCATTTCACACACACACAAACCCAGTGAGAGGAACCAATTCAGTTCTTGCCTAGCAACAGAGATGTACCCATGTTTAACCCTGGATCCGTGTTCGTCATATTGTGATTAACTTTGTTTATCTTATAGTTTACTGAAAATTCCTCATCAGTATCCCCTCCTCCTTTTTGGTGTCTCTTCTCTTATGACATCTCTCTTTTTCTCTCTCTTTCCTTGGTTTACCTCCCTCTCCACTGCTACTAGTCGTTAATGGCTAAGCTTTCTAGCCTGAAAATCAAAGTGGGCCAGATGCAGTATGAAAAACAGAGGAAGGAGCACAAACTACAGGCACTGAAGGTTGGCTTCTCCCAGGGTTTCTGCTTGTTGCCATCTGATATGGGGTTTTGGTCTTTCTACTTTTTACTTTGGTTTAGTTTTTGTTTTTTGAGCAAGAATCTTTCAACTGGTGTTTTTTGTGTTTTGTTTTTACATATTTCCAGATGAGAAAATGTACAGTCTTTTTTGGTGCCAGTGAAAAAGCCAAAGAACTTAAACATATCAATGTAAACCCTGAAATACACCTTCCTTTAGGTGACACCCACAAGGCACCAGTTTAAGCATACTGTGCATTCGGAAAGTATTCAGACCCCTTGACTTTTTTCACATTTTGTTATGTTACAGCCTTATTCTAAAATTGATTAAATAAAACATTTACCTCATCAATCTACACACAATACCCCATAATGATAAAGCAAAAACAGGTTTTTAGAAATGTTTGCAAATGTTTTAAAAAATAAAAAAAGATACGTTCTTGCCATAAGTATTCAGACCCTTTGCTATGAGCCTCGAAATTGAGCTTGGGTGCATCCTGTTTCCATTGATCATCCTTGAGATGTTTCTACAACTTGATTGGAGTCCACCTGTGGTAAATTCAATTGATTGGACATGATTTGAAAAGGTACACATCTGTCTATATAAGGTCCCACAGTTGACCGTGCATGTCAGAGCAAAAACCAAGCCATGAGGTTGAAGGAATTGTCTGTAGAGCTCCGAGACAGGATTGTGTCGAGGCACAGATCTGGTGAAGGGTACCAAAACATGTCTACAGCATTGAAGGTCCCCAAGATCACACAGTGGCCTCCATCATTCTTAAATGGAAGAAGTTTGGAACCACCAAGACTCTTCCTCGAGCTGGCCGCTTGGCCAAACTGAGCAATCGGGGGAGAAGGACCTTGGTCAGGGAGGTGACTAAGAACCCGATGGTCACTCTGACAGAGCTCCAGAGTTCCTCTGTGGAGATGTGAGAACCTTCCAGAAGGACAACCATCTCTGCAGCAGTCCACCAATCATGCCTTTATGGTAGAGTGGCCAGACGGAAGCCACTCCTCAGTAAAAGGCACATGACACCCCGCTTCGAGTTTGCCAAAAGGTAGCTAAAGGACTCTCAGACCATGAGAAACAAGATTCTCTGGTCTGATGAAACAAAGATTGAACTCTTTGGCCTGAATGCCAAGCGTCACGTCTGGAGGAAACCCCTATGATGAAGCATGGTGGTGGCAGCATCATGCTGTGGGGATGTTTTTCAGCTAGTTAGGATCAAGGGGAAAGATGAACGGAGCAAAGTACAGAGAGATCCTTAATGAAAACCTGCTCCAGAGCGCTCAGGACCTCAGACTGGGGCGAATGTTCACCTTTCAACAGGACAACGACCCTAAGCACCCAGCCAAGACTACACAGGAGTGGCTTCGGGACAAGTCTCTGAATGTCCTTGAGTGGCCCAGCCAGAGCCCAAACTTGAACCCGATCTAACATCTCTGGAGAGACCTGAAAATAGCTGTGCAGCGATGCTCCCCATCCAACCTGACAGATCTTGAGAGGATCTGCAGAAAATAATGGGAGAAACTCCCCAAATACAGGTGTGCCAAGCTTGTAGCGTCATTCCCAAGAAGATTTGAGGCTGTAATTGCTGCCAAAGGTGCTTCAACAAAGTACTGAGTAAAGGTTCTGAATACTTATGTAAATGTGATTTTTCCGTTTTTTATTTTCAATACATTTGCAAAAATGTCTAAAAACCTTGCTTTGCTTTGTCATTATGGGGTATTGTGTGTAGATTGATGAGGTGATATATTTTTTTTACACCATTTTAGAATAAGCCTGTAAGGTAACAAAATGTGGAAAAAGTCAAGGGGTCTGAATACTTTCTGAATGCGCTGTATACTGTAGCACATGTAAACCACAGGTATGTCTTAATTGTAGCTTTCTTTGCCCTCATTTGGAAGTCTGTTTAGCTGTTTCTTTCTTTCTTTTCCTCCCTCCCTTTTTCTCATGGATGAAATGTCATCTGAAAAATCGTTTACTTTATCCATTTCCTGTTTAGTTTTTTAGTTTTTAAAGAATCCATGCTTGGTGTTCTATCCCATGCCTGGTCTCAGATCTGTTTGTGCTGTTTTGCCAACACCTGTTGTCATTGTCACGTCAATTGAGTTGGCAAGACGACACACACAGGCCTGGGACCAGGCTATTTTGACACTGCCATGTAAAACGGCTCCTCCAGCACTTGCTGAGACATCAACCACACCAGTCCATTGCACTAACCACCTCATCCACACCTCCCCCTCTCAAACACACACACACACACCCAGAGCAGGTGTGATCGTCATTGTCAAGTCAGCATCTGAATGATTGTTGTGGTTTGTTTGTGGTGGTGGGTGTTGGGGGTAGAAGAGGGGGAGATGTTAAGTCAGTGGCCACATTCCTGGCTGACTATGCTGCAGACGCCTGCCAGATCTCACAACGCCTGCATAGGTGGTTAACATATCAGTTAACCGCACCATATGACATAGTAATCTGATGCTCTACTGCACAGTCGATGACGTGGCACACAACCATTGGTTGATGCAATGCAACGTCTGCAATTTAGTCGGTCTGGAACGCAACAAGTGTTTTTTGGGAGGATGTCCCTGAGTAACTGTTGTGTGTTGAACAGGAGGAGCTGGCGACGCTGAGGAGGCAGTTGGAGGGAAGGGACGGAGAACTGAGGAGGTTACACGGTGAGACTGGGTTCAGAGCCATCACGCCGGGTGGCATGGACAGTGGAGACAGAGGTGGGATTATGGACCATAGTTCACTGTTTCTCTCTGTCTGTGTCTTTACTCTATGGGGCGTTTCCCGGACACAGATTAAGCCTAGTCCTAGACTAAAAGCATGAATGGCGGCAGGTAGTCTACGGTTAAGAGCATTGGGCCAGTAACCAAAAGGTTGTTGGTTCGAATCCCCAAGCCAACTAGGTGAAAAATCTGTCTGAGCCCTTGAGCAAGGCACTTAACCCTAATTGCTCCAGGGTCGCCGTCAACAATGGCTGATCCCTGGCCATGACCCCACTCTCCACGAGTGTTTCAAGTAGTGGGATATGCAAAAAAAAAATAATATCCAATAGGACAATGTAAGCACCCACCTAATTATTATTATGTATTTCGAAAGTGGTTCTTTGTCCAAGACTAGCCTAAATCTGTGTCTGGGAAACCAACCCTATAAGACAAACATATACCAGTTCCATTAAGCACAGATGATAACATTTTGGTAACACTTTACTTAAAGCCGACAGTTATAATGCATTATAACGTGTTATAAGCATGTCTTATTATGCTTAAAAAATATTGTCTCTGAAAAATCTGTGTCATATTTTGTAACCAATCAACATTATTTAAAATATTCCAGTCTTGACCGAAGTCGTGATGGACAGTCTTCAGAAACTGCAGCCAGTTTTTGTTTCATACAGTAATTCTGTGTCCTGTTTAGTCTCTCACCCAGATGAAACTCTTAAAAAGAGGCTGAAAGAGAAACGTAAGGTTATGGGTTTTATCAATGCTTGTATTTATTATTATTTGCTCTTGCACAACTGTCACTGTTGCATGTATGGGCATGAATGACCCATCTGAACCTTGCTTGTCCATAACCCATTGGAAAGCTATTTAATACAGTGTATACTCTTTGAAATCGTTTTATTATCAGTTCAGCCACCGGTATTTTAGAACTCAAAGAAGTGAATGAAAAGATGATATCAGTGGTTTATATTGCAGAAAGGTTGGCCTCTATGTACTGTAAGAATGGTAAAGTAAGTTGACTTAATGGAAATATCTTAAAGGTGAAATCTGTTAGTTTTCTGTCCTCCGTGGCAACCAGATGAAGTTCAAATGCAAAGAGTGAAACGCAACCTACACACAACAACAAGAAATATATGCTGTTCAAATTAATTAACCTGCGCCTCTTTGGTATTGTGATTTCAACTGCCTCAAAAACTTTCTACACGACATATTGATTACAATGCGAATCAAACTTCCGGATTGTGCCTTTAAGACTGCCCTAAGGAATAAGAAAGACACTCCCTTACGTATTTATTTGGAAATAAAACGTTTTATTTATACTCCAGCATTTTGGATTTGAGATCAAATGTTTTATATGAGGCGACAGTACAGAATTTCACCTTTATTTGAGGATATTTTGATACATACAGTGCATTCGGAAAGTATTCACACCCCTTGACTTTTTCCACATTTTGTTAGATTACAGCCTTATTCTAAAATGGATTAAATAAAAAAATGTCTCATCAATCTACACAAAATACCCCATTATGACAAAGTGAAAACAGGTTTTCAGACCCTTTGCTATGAGCCTCGAAATCTAGCTCAGGTGCATCCTGTTTCCATTGATCATCCTTGAGATGTTTCTACAACCTGATTGGAGTCCACCTGTGGTAAATTCAATTGATTGGACATGATTTGGAAAGGCACACACCTGTCTATATAAGGTCCCACAGTTGACAGTGCATGTCAGAGCAAGAACTAAGCCATGAGGTCAAAGGAATTGTCTGTAGAGCTCTTAGAGAGGATTGTGTCAAGGCACAGATCTGGGGAAGGGTGCCAAAACATTTCTGCAGCATTGAAGGTCCCCAAGAACACAGTGGCCTCCATCATTCTTAAATGGTAGAAGTCTTCCTAGAGCAGGCAGCCTGGCCAAACTAAGCAATCGGGGGAGAAGGGCCTTGGTCAAGTAGGTGACCAAGAACCCGATGGTCACTCTGACAGAGCTCCAGAGTTCCTCTGTGAAGATGGGAGAACCTTCCAGAAGGACAATCATCTCTGCAGCACTCCACCAATCAGGCCTTAATGGTAGAGTAGCCAGACAGCAGCCACTCCTCAGTAAAAAGCACATGACAGCCCGCTTGGAGTTTGTCAAAAGGCACCTAAAGACTCAGACCATCAGAAACAAGATTGTCTGGTCTGATGAAACCAAGATTGGCCTGAATGCCAAGCGTCATGTCTGGAGGAAGCCTGGCACCATCCCTAGGGTGAAGCATGGTGGTGGCAGCATCATGCTGTGGGGATATTTTTCAGCGGCAGGGACTGGGAGACTAGTCAGGATCGAGGGAAAGATGAACGGAGCCAAGTACAGAGAGATCCTTGAAGAAAACCTGCTCAGGACCTCAGACTGGGGCGAAGGTTCACCTTCCAACAGGACTGAAGCACACAGCCAGGACAACGCAGGAGTGGCTTCAGGACAAGTCTCTTAGAATTTTTCAATTTAAATTATTATATAAAATTCTTGCTACCAATAGAATGTTATTTATATGGGGGATACAATCTTCCCAGCTCTGCAGATTTTGCTGCGAAGAGACAATCAATAGGTCATTTGTTTTGGTACTGTCCATTTGTAGCTTGTTTTTGGACACAGGTCCAGGAATGGCTAAAGGATTGCAACATTTACCTGGAGCTAACCCTGCAGATAGCATTACTGGGTGGTCTGAAAAGTCAATCGATCAATAATATAATAATACTTTTAGCAAAAATGTTTATTTTCAATTTACATCTGTAGAAAGAATGAGAATAGAAAGGGTCAGAACTTTTGTAAAACATCACAGTACAGTTGAAAAATATATGGCAACTAGAAATCCAATATGGATGGTGTTAAGAGATGGGTGGTGTTGAAGGATGGGACTTTTAACAACTAACAACAACTAATAACAACAAGATAACTAATAATGTAAGCATACTATGTCCATAATAAGTATATAGGTTATAGGTTGAGAGCTTTTGTGAAAGAGCACAGTTAGAAAGATATGGCATATAGAAGCAAACCGGATGGACATCATGAAAATGATCGGAGAGGTTGAGGGTAGAGGAAGTTCAGGAGTAAAAACAAACAAAATATAATTATTGTAAAATTGACTGTGTCCATAAAATGTATGTATAAGCTGGAAGTAGAGGCCTAAGCATTGTTGCTTACTCCAATTAGGGAAGGGGTGGTGGGGTTGGAAAGTAATAAAGGGAAATATATTTTTTAAAGGAAATGTATATGTATGTACATTTGTGAGGGGAAAAAAGTATTTGATCCCCTGCTGATTTTGTACGTTTGCCCACTGACAAAGAAATGATCAGTCTATAATTTTAATGGTAGGTTTATGTGAACAGTGAGAGACAGAATAACAACAAAAAAATCCAGAAAAACACATGTCAAAAATGTTGGAAAGTAATGAAGGGAAATGTATTTTAAAAAAGGAAATATATATTTGCGAGAAGAAAAAAAACATATGGGGGATTGGAAGTGATGCAGACAATTACATTGATGGAAGTTACAATCTATCTGCAATATTAAAGCTGATCTACCCCCTAATAAAAATAAAAAAAATAAAAAAGTATTTGAATGTCCTTGAGTGGCCCAGCCAGAGGCCGGACTTGAACCCGATCGAACATCTCTGGAGAGACCTGAAAATATTTGTGCAGCGATGCTCCCCATCCAACCTGACAGAGCTTGAGAGGATCTGCAGAGAAGAATGGGAGAAACTCCCCAAATATAGATGTGCCAAGCTTGTAGCGTCATACCCAAGAAGACTCAAGGCTGTAATCGCTGCCAAAGGTACTTCAACAAAGTACTGAGTAAAGGGTCAGAATACTTATGTAAATGTGATCTTTCAGTTTTTATTTTTGCTTAGTCATTATGGGGTATTGTTTGTAGATTGATGAGGGGAATTATTATTTTTTGAATCCATTTTAGAATAAGGCTTTAACGTAAAAACATGTAGGAAAAGGTCAAGGGGTCTGAATACTTTCAGAATGAACTGTATCCATTTTACCGTTGAGAAATTAAGCACTGTATGTGGAGCGGCAGGTAGCCTAGCGGTTAGAGCGTTGGGCCAGTAACCGAAAGGTTGCTGGTTTGAATACCCGAGCCGACAAGGTGAAAAATCTGTCGATGTCCCCTCGAGCAAGGCACTTAACCCTAATTTGCTCCAGGGGCACGGTACTAATATGGCTGACCCTGTAAAACAACACATCACTGCACCCATCAGTGACTATAAAACATGTTTTATTATTGTACCTAGTGCCTCCCTTTTTGAAGGTATCATAAGTATTTGGACAAATTCACTTATAGTGTATAACATTTTGGAATACGTTTAGTATTTGGTCCCATATTCCTAGCACGCAATGACTACATCAAGCTTGTTTGTGACTCTACAAACTTGCTGGATGCATTTGCAGTTTGTTTTGGTTGTGTTTCAGATGATGTTGTGCCCAATATAAATGAATGGTAAATAATGTATTGTGTCATTTTGGAGTCACTTTTATTGTAAATAAGAATAGAATATGTACCTGAACACTTCTACATTTAATGTGGATGCTACCATGATTACGGATAGTCATGAATGAATCGTGAATACTGATGAGTGAGAAGATGACAGAGGCATAAATATCACAACCGAAACAAACTGCAAATTCATCCAACAAGTTTGTAGATTCACAAGCTTAATTTAGTCATTGCGTGCTAGGAATATGGGACCAAATACTAAACTTTTGACTAAATGTTATACACTATAAGTGAATTTGTCCAAATACTTATGATACCTTCAAAAAGGGAGGCACTAGGTACAATAATAAAACATGTTTTATAGTCACTGATGGGTGCAGTGATGTGTTGTTTTACAGGGTCAGCCATATTAGTACCATGCCCCTGGAGCAAATTACTGTCCAAATAAACACGTAGGGGAGTGTCTATAAGATGATTTCCTGTCTACATGTCAAAAACGTCCCTTTCTGCCACCTGTCATGTCATGGATGCCAGCTCACTGTTCATTCTGTGCTGTCATCCTCCTGCTTTCTCCTACAACCAACAATAATCACCTCCTTTTAACACAGGCCTCTCCTCCTCACCCTTTCCGTACCCCACTCTCACCACTTGCTCCCTCCATCAACACCCAGCATGCTGTCTGCTAACCCTCATAATCATCCTTGTCCTCTTCACAATGTCTCCTCTCATCATGTCTTTATTGTGACGGCTATAGAACAGCACATTGATATGGCTGTACCCACCAAGTCCAAATCATCCACCTCAAGGTTCCCTCAACTGTGTTAGATGTGGTGCTTATCTCACTGTGAGACTAGGAAGTGGTTAGACTACATGGACAGGGAGCCAAAATGTCCCCTCAGGAGCTATCCCTGTCTGTTTAGATAGTACTATTGCAGACAGAGACCCCACTCTGAATAGAGATATACTGTTGTACCATAGATCACTATGGATGAGTCAGTCAGGGGACCCCAGACATACCTTTGCCCAGAGTTGACCCTGTTGACTGCTATATATTCTCTGGCTGAAATCCTGTTCTTTACCCTCCAGATGTGGAAGTGCAGAGAATGAAAAAAGCGGTGGAGTCACTGATGGCAGCCAATGAGGAGAAGGTACAGTGAACTACAGTTGACCCCCCCCCACCCCATCTCATTACTCTCGGATAGTTTGTCTTGTCAAGTTTAATGTGACAGGCCAAAGAAGAGGTTACAACCTCTCCGAACCTCTGTGCCCCTAAAAAGAAGGAAAATAAACTCTCTGTACCTTGTGACCTGGCTTGACCTTTGACCTTTATGTGACCCCTCTGCACCTGTAGGATCGTAAGATTGAGGAGCTGAGGCAGTCGCTGCTGCACTACAAGAAGGTCCAGGACATGGTGATGTCAGTGCAAGAGAAGAAAGGTTCGAGAAACAATGTTCTATTTCTTAAACCATGTTCTATCACATTGTTTTATCTCTGAGAGAAACACTTGTGTTCATTAGGTTTATGTGTCTAAGATCAAAGAAGTAACTGCAAACAATGCTGACCCTGTGAATGATCAGTCAGTTTCAGTTTAAGTAATGATACAGAAGTGATTTGTAAGAGCAGATAGAAGTGTTCTTAAGGTCAATATGTAAAAAAATGTCAACTTCAAAGCTTCACATTTCTGACAGTGGACTCTAATAGAATGCCCAACTCTGAACTCTCTCCTAGGCTACATAAAAATCTGACTGCTCAAAATAACTCTTTCATCTTCAATTCCAGACAAAACCAAAGATGGTGAGAGTGACGAGAGTAACAGCGACAACTCCCTCTCCATGATGTCAACGACGACCACCCCGGTTGCCCTGGAGTCGGAGAGGCACGCGCTAGCCGGAGTCGAGGAAGTAGCAGGGAAGAGCCCAGACGAGGTACAGGATTACATGATGATTTATAGATTGACTATAACAGGCCAAGGCCCTCAGATCACAGGAACAAATTATATTTCTATGAATGAATGTGTCATCCGCATTAGACCTTTTCAAAAAGCCTTCATATGTCCTCCAGCCAATGAAACAGCCAATAATGACACATGCTGTGATTTAGATTTCACACTTCTGAACCAGGTGTTGAGTCACTTTGTCAAATTAGTCTGATAACATTCAAGGTAACTTTGCAGTGACACTTTGGATGGTTGTCTGTTTGAATTATGACAAGCACCATTGTCTTGACTGCTCGTTACCCTTAATCTACTAAATCGTGAAAACACCTTGACACGACAGAGAAACGTAACATATGAGGTTGATGGCCCTCTCCTTCAATGCGTAGCTGGAGACGCACTATGGAGCTACTGAAGTGTCTTCGCCCACACCCAGCCCTACAGTCCTGTCAGCCTGCGATCTACAGAGGGGGCCAGAGCTTGACCAAGCTGAACCTGAGAGGTGAGCTGAACGAGATGTTTATTTATAGTCTTTGAAATGGGCTTCGGCTAAACCTGTGGGACAATTCCCACATTTCTTCCAGCACAACATTAGTGTTTTGTTTTGGGTGTCTGTCCAGTGCTGTTTTTCTTTTTACTAGGAACCAAACGGGACAAAACGGGAACGGACCTACGTGAATTTCTCCAATAAAAGCTACTGTGTGCACTAATACACTCCTGTTGATGAACAAAGTTAGTTTGCCCCTGAGCAAAGTGAGCTGACTAGGAAAGAGAGATGTTGTGAATGGTGTGTAAACCTACCTCCTGAAATGAGACCGGGCTAAGGAAAAGGTCAATACCTAGGCAAGATATCATGCCTCATCTTGCCTTAGCGTGGTAAATGGGGCATAATTGATGACATTTGGACACCACAAGGTCCAAGGTGTCCCACAAGGGTGTCTACATCAGCTTGACTGAAAAATAAGGCTTCCTATGAAAAATATCTATAGCCTCCCCTCCCAGGTTTGACCAGTGTCCCACAAGGTGTCCCACAGTGTAGCATGCAGCAGGCAGCTCACAGCATGTCATCCTTTTGCTTCAAGCTTCTGCTTTCTGTCAGAATTCCTTCCTGCCAGTGGTTCAGTACCGTACATTGACCACACCACTTTGGCACATTGACCAGGTCCAAGTGTTGTAGTATTCATTGTGTTGAGCTTTGTCATTTCAGGACCCTGGATATCCCAAAGTCAGGGAGTCAGGATAACTTGTATGTCAGCAACAGCGAAAAGGTAAAGATATTTCTGAATTCCCTTGAAGGGGCAGTCATCATCCCTCAGTTCTAAAGTCATCATTGAATTTCATCATTAACACTAAATCCCATATCATCATCTGTGCCAGATTACATTGGTGATTAAAGAAAAGCCAACAGAGGTGAGTCTGTTCTCAACTGTCTTCTTTCCATATTTCGGGGTCAGACACTTCATTCTTTGCTTATCCTCTCTTTATCATTTACATTATTTTCCTCTTTGGCCTCATCCGTCTTGTTAGAAGGCTGACAATCTATTCCTCCTTCTGAAGGTTAGCATCCTCAGTAAGGCTAGTGTGTGTGTGCGTGTGCACGTGTCATCTTGGTTTCATTGCATGCGTTTGATTGCCTTTTATCATGTTGAATTGAAATTGATCAATCCTTTTCACTTAAAGCCAACTCTGCACTGTCAGTTATTTTCAAATGCAATTTCCTACAAATTGTTTTATTTATTACTGCATGTGTGTGATGTGACATGGTTCTGGCATTGTGTGAACTGATTTTGCAGATAGAGGTTTTTACTTGCAATGACTGTGATATGTGTTTGTTTTTTACCTACTGTACCTTAGTTGAATGCACTGATTGTAAGTCACTCTGGATAAGAGCGTCCGCTAAATGACTAAAATGTCAAATTGACGTGTCAACTCTGTATTTTGCTACTGTTCAGAATAAGGCTGTGGAGGAGATCAGTAAGATCAGCGAGCGCCCGCCAAAGTCTCCCTCTTCATCTCGCCCGGAGGACGACAGCTTTGGTACCAAGAAGGCTCGCTCCTCCTTCGGCCGAGGCTTCTTCAAGATCAAGGGGGGCAAGAGGACAGCCAGCGCCCCTAACCTGGGTAAGAGAGGGTGGATGGATGGCCTAGTGTGCGTGAATGGGCTGTGGGTCTCAGGTGGAAGCTTTTTGGGAACAGGTCCCATATTCACAAACGACTGAGGATCAGGTCCTGCCCGTCCCAGGTGGTGAGTGACTCCGCTGTCCTGGCGTCGTGAGGGAGCTTGTTCCACCATTGGGGTGCCAGAGCAGCGAACAGTTTTGACTGGGCTGAGCGGGAGCTATGCTTCCGCAGAGGAAGGGGAGCCAGCAGGCCAGAGGTGGATGAACGCAATGCCCTCGTTTGGGTGTAGGGACTGATCAGAGCCTGAAGGTACAGAGGTGCCGTTCCCCTCACTGCTCCATAGGCAAGCACCATGGTCTTGTAGCGGATGCGAGCTTCAACTGGAAGCCAGTGGAGTGTGCGGAGGAGGGGGGTGACGTGAGAGAACTTGGGAAGGTTGAACACCAGACGGGCTGCGGCATTCTGGATGAGTTGTAGGGGTTTAATGGCACAGGCAGGGAGGCCAGCCAACAGCGAGTTGCAGTAGTCCAGACGGGAGATGACAAGTGCCTGGATTAGGACCTGTGCCGCTTCCTGTGTAAGGCAGGGTCGTACTCTCCGAATGTTGTAGAGCATGAACCTAATCGTGTTCATTATTATCTTAAAGGCAAAACTGATCCTAGATCTGCACTCTTACTCTGAGATGCTTTTTAAATACGGGCCCAGATATAACACTGCTACTCAATGGTTTCTGACGGTTATTTTGCTTCTTTTGGGCTATTTTGACTTGTATGGTGTGGTATGTTGTGCATTTTGACCAGTTTGACATGTATAATTAGGGATATTGTAGTCTTTGTGTTATTCTTTGTTTTTAAATATATATACAGTATATATACACAACAACATTTCTTTCTCTGAGCAATTGTATTAGTATAGAATAATGTAATTTCCACATTTGTTGGAGCATAGAATATAGCCCAGTATTTGAATTATTTATTTTATACAGTCATTGCTCATCTTTATCAAGGGTGTCAATAAATTCGGACCCCACATGTTTCTGACACTTAATTCAGACAGTAAGGAAATTAGAGGGGTAGAAAGGCAAGTGGGAGAAACTATGGAAAGGGTTTACACAGGGAGTCATCTGACATGCAGGGGAGTGGTACCACACCGGCTCTGCACGTTCTTTGTTTTAATGCTGAAGACTGAGCGGTTCTTTCCAAAGAGCTTGGTTTTTCGATGTAGCTTTTAGTTGTTTTTCTATGTTCCCCAAACCACACCCATAGTTAAAATACATACATACACCATAATTACTAGTCCCATAAATTGTTCTCCCTGTCTGATTATGAAAATGTAGTCTAGTAGCCTAGTGTGTGTGCTTTGTATGTATGTATGTATGTATGTATGTATGTATATGTGTGTGTGTGTGTGTGTGTGTGTGTGTGTGTGTGTGTGTGTGTGTGTGTGTGTGTGTGTGTGTGTGTGTGTTATATATGTGTCTTATCTGTCTCCTGCCCCTACCATCATACTATGAATCTCCCCTGTTGTTTTTTCCCATCGGTAACCTTTGGCCTCTTTTTGTGCATTGTGTAACGCATTGTGAAGACCGCAGCCAGATTGCGTGTGCCCCAATGCTAGGTTCAGAATAATGGAGCCATTATGTCCTCAGGGCAAGGCAGGGCTGCAGTATGGCCTCTGGAGGAATGACCACTACTGGATATGACCCCTGACATAACATTCCCCCCACCCCCTTCCTTCCCAAACCCGCTCAACCAACTTCTCAACCTCAACCAACTGTTGACTTTCTACTTTCACCTAACTCACAAACGTGTTGTGTAAACTGAAGGGTCCTTTGTAATTCAATTTCAGAAATCATGATTCTCCCAATACTTAGAAATACATTGTAGGTTTTGAACTCTCTTGGGTGCCCACTCTATATGGAATATGAGTTGAAGGTGACTTCTATATTCCAAGACGTATTCCATAAGCATGCTTGTGACGTGTTGATGGAAAGTAAGGGTAGGAATTTCTGTTCTCTATAATACAATTTCAGAAATCATGATTCACCCAAGTCTTATAAATCTTTGTGGTGACCTCTTTATTCCAAGACTTAATGAAACATGATGATTTTGATGTAACTTAGGAGTTCATGCATAGAGAAGAAAGGGTTTGAATTTCCACTCTAGACTTTAGACATTTGAATAGAGGTTACTCTCAGGCCACCATGAACCCATGGCAAAGCACTGTCGTGGCTGCTATTGTGGGCGTCAGTTTAGTATATAATTCTACAGTAGCTACACTAGACTTCCTTGTATACAACCACACCCATGTTACCAGCGGTTGTTCCTCGCCAAACTGCTTTTTACAAGCACCACTGCTGGATAGCATTAAAGCTGAAAGACTCATCCCGAGTGGCGCATCGGTCTAAGGCACTGCATCGCAGTGCTAGAGGCGTCACTACAGATCCGTGTTCGATCCCGGGCTGTGTCGCAGCCGGCTTCGACCAGGAGACCCATGAGGCGGCGCACAATTGGCCCAGCGTCGTCCGGGTTAGGGGAGGGTTTGACCAGCTGGGATGTCCTTGTCCCATCGCGCTCTAGCGACTCCTTGTGGCGGCCAGGCGCATGCGCGCTGACTTCGTCGCCAGCTGTACGGTGTTTCCTCCGACACATTGGTGCGTCTGGCTTCCGGGTTAAGGGAGCAGTGTGTCAAGAAGCAGTGCGGCTTGGCGGGGTCGTGTTTCAGAGGAAGCATGGCTCTCGACCTTCTCCTCTCCCGAGTCCGTACGGGAGTTGCAGCGATGGGACAATGTAACTACCAAGTGGATATCACGAAATTGGGGCTAAAAAGTACAAAAAATTATATATATAAAAAAATACTGAGACAGCGTTTTGTATGTTTGTTCTGTGCGTCTGCAAACTCTGCATGTATATGTGCTCTTTTCTATTTCTCCCCTCACACCAAACCATATCTGGGTCTTATGACCAGTTGATTTAATCTGCAATGATGCCCCCCTATACAGTTTCTTCTTGAAGTTCCTTTCTTTCAAAAAATATGATGTTCTTCTTGAGATGTTTTGACTTGTATTAGTTTATCCGCTGTTCACTTTTCCTGATGTTCCTGACTACAGCTAAATATAAAAATAGCCTTTTCCTTAAACCCTCTAAACACGGTCAGATCCTGACTGTTGTTTCTAAAGTTAGACCACCTCACTCTCCCATGTAACACGTTCAGCTCAGTGAGTCTCATTTAGGAATGTGTGTTTGCGCGAATTACCCTCTGGTTAAGTCTAATAATGAAATGTGAATTGTATACATTTCAGTCCTGTTTTGTCTTTACACCAGTGCATAACTAGTCTTTGAATTATGTAAGGCCTACAACTAAAAGAAAAGCACTCTATATATATATATATATATATATATATATATATATATATATTTCTTTTCTTTTTTTTAAGTCTTCGATAAAATTTTGAATTTGGCCTTTAGTGCTATAGCCCAAATAAACACATTGAATAACATTCATAAATGGCACAAATAAATCATAAGGAATAAGGTTTTTGAGTGTCTGTTCTATATCTAGGAGATATAAGAAAGCTCAGGAATATAAAATATTTAACCCCTTTTTGAGGAGGGGACACAAAACGACTTCCATACTTCCATAAATTGTTTTAAACCGGTACCGGATTACATTCAGACGAGTCCCGTGGGTCTTGTGGGGGTCGTAGAACAAAACGGAGAGCACCATCGTGTTCGCCAGAGCCTCATCTTTCCATAGAGTGCAGACCAATATTTTAGAAAATATTGATCAACTTTATTTTTAAGGAAATTTATTCCGTATACCCAATAGCAGTAGTGTAAATTTACTGACTATTATAAACAATCGTTTTTAATCCTTGACTCCATCTCCTTCAACATGCTCCCTTTGATGCTATAACGTTAGCATGATCTGTATCTGTAGCCTAGTATGCATAGTGCTCTGGCTATACATTTTATCCGGTTTACAAAGATACGAAAACGATGCTAAAAGCCATAATCTCTGCTGAAATTAACTACCAAATATCATTCTTGGTGAGCTGCACTGCTGCAACTGCGTGATAGTGGTTGGGCGTCGACTCCAAAATAATAAATTCCTTGCCCGTCAAGCTTAGATTCCGTTAGGAATCGACTCCTAAGATTGAGTATTTTTGCAAAAGAGGAAACTATTTGCCCTAGTCTACTTCGAGAACACAAACTCTCTCATTTTTCACAGCAAAGAAAGAGCGAGCTAGTGAGGGAGACAGAGAGATGGGAGGGGCACAGCCAGGTATAGGTAGGCATGTCTGCCAATAGGCAGACAGTCAGAACCGTGCATTGGTAATCAGAAGACGCAATGCTGTATTTCTCAACTTCTTGGCTTGCAATGTCTCGCACAAGTTCACTAAAGTAGGGGCTATCAATGAGTAGGCTGAGCTATTTTACACCCAAAAAGTTTAGTGGGTATGCCCTGCTTTGCAATCTATTTATTACCTAGGACAGAGCTCTACAATCCTGTAGGTTTTCACTCCAACCCTAATCTAGCACATCTGATTCAATAATTAGCTGGTTGATAAACTGAATCAGGTTAGTTACAACTGGGGTTGGAGTGAAAACCTACAGGAAGGTAGCTCTCCATGAACAGGGTTGGAGAGCCCTGACCTAGGACATCAACAGCCATCCAGGGTTTCATTAAATAAACTATAGGCACACTACCTTTTACTGCACATTTAGGCCTAATTACACTGAAACGTTTGGCGATGTGTGTAGAATCGCTCAGCCTACTCATTGATAGCCCCTACTTTAGTGAACTTGCGCGAGACATTGCAAGCCAACAAATTGAGATACAGCATTGCGATAGCCTATAAATCTTTTGATTACCGATGCACGGTTCTGACTGTATGCCTGGTGGTCAACATGCCTACCTATGACTGGCTCTGCCCCTCCCCTCTCTCTCCCTCCCTCGCTCACTCTTTGTTTGCTGTAAAATGAGCAAGAGTCTGTATTCTCGAAAGTAGCCAATGGCAACTACAGTGGATATACAGTGAGGGAAAAAAGTATTTGATCCCCTGCTGATTTTGTACGTTTGCCCACTGACAAAGAAATGATCAGTCTATAATTGTAATGGTAGGTTTATTTGAACAGTGAGAGACAGAATAACAACAAAAAAATCCAGAAAAACGCATGTCAAGAATGTTATAAATTGATTTGCATTTTAATGAGGGAAATAAGTATTTGACCCCTCTGCAAAACATGACTTAGTACTTGGTGGCAAAACCCTTGTTGGCAATCAGAGGTCAGACGTTTCTTGTAGTTGGCCACCAGGTTTGCACACATCTCAGGAGGGAAAATAAAAACCTTACAATAACCTGGTTGTATAAGTGTGCACACCCTCTTATAACTGGGGATGTGGCTGTGTTCAGAATTAACCAATCACATTCAAACTCATGTTAAATATAAGTAATTACACACCTGCCATCATTTAAAGTGACTCTGATTAATCACAAATAAAGTTCAGCTGTTCTAGTAGGATTTTCCTGACATTTTCTTAGTTGCATCTCAGAGCAAAAGCCATGGTCCGCAGAGAGCTTCCAAGGCATCAGAGGGATCTCATTGTTGAAAGATATCAGTCAGGAGAAGGGTACAAAATAATTTCCAAAGCATTACATATACCATGGAACACAGTGAAGACAGTCATCATCAAGTGGAGAAAATATGGCACAACAGAGACATTACCAAGAACTGGACGTCCCTCCAAAATGTATGAAAACACGAGAAGAAAACTGGTCAGGGAGGCTTCCAAGAGGCCTACAGCAACATTAAAGGAACTGCAGGAATTTCTGGCAAGTACAGGCTGTGTGCTACATGTGACAACAATCTCCCGTATTCTTCATATGAATGGGCTATGGGGTAGGGTGGCAAGACGGAAGCCTTTTCTTACAAAGAAAAACATCCAAGCCCGGCTGAAGTTTGCAAAAACAAACATCAAGTCCCCCAAAAGCACGTGGGAAAATGTGTTATGGTCTGATGAAACCAAGGTTGAACTTTTTGGCCATAATTCCAAAAGGTATGTTTGGTGCAAAAACAACACTGAACACCATACCCACAGTGAAGCATGGTGGTGGCAGCATCATGCTTTGGGGCTGTTTTTCTTCAGCTGGAACCGGGGCCTTAGTCAGGGTGGAGGGAATTATGAACAGTTCCAAATACCAGGCAATTTTGGCACAAAACCTTCAGGCGTCCGTTAGAAAGCTGAAGATGAAGAGGAAGTTCACCTTTCAGCACGACAACGACCCAAAGCACACATCCAAATCCACAAAAGCATGGCTTCACCAGAAGAAGATTAACGTTTTGGAATGGCCCAGCCAGAGCCCAGACCTGAATCCAATTGAACATCTCTGGGGTGATCTGAAGAGGGCTGTGCACAGGAGATGTCCTCGCAATCGGACAGATTTGGAGCGCTTTTGCAAAGAGTGGGCAAATATTGCCACGTCAAGATGTGCCATGCTAATAGACTCCTAACCAAAAGACTGAGTGCTGTAATAAAATCAAAAGGTGCTTCAACAAAGTATTAGTTTAAGGGTGTGCACACTTATGCAACCAGGTTATTGTGAGTTATTTTTTATTTATTTTTCTCAAATATTTCAGTTTGTTTCTCAATTGAATTGTTCATGTTATAGGTCACATTAAAGGTGGAAAAAGTTCTGACATGATTTATCTTTGTCTCATTCTTTTACATCACAAAAACCTGGCATTTTAACAGGGGTGTGTAGACTTTTTATATCCACTGTAGTTATCTCCTTTGCAAAAATACTGAATCTTAGGAGTCGAGGAGTTGATTCCTTGCGGAATTTCGAGTAACAGTTCCTTGCGGAATCGACGCTTGACACCCAGAAATGGGAGTCGACAGGCAAGGAGTCGAGGAATCTATTATTATGGAGAGTAGAGGAGAAAATCAGAGTGCCTTAATTTTGCTATTTGAATGGTTATTCCAGTGACCGTGGACATTTGCCTGACAAATAACTGTTACTCGAAATTCCATAACTGTCACAGCCCTATCGGACGCTACAGACGTTTTTGTGACATGTCTCCTGGTCTGACAAACAGCGCTGTAGCTCTGCCACTTTACACCGCAGGTGCGGAAGGCCGACATCGGCGGATGCGATTGATTGAGACGTAGCCCATGCAAATCTCTAGTTTAAACAGACAGATTTTTATGGGGATTAAAAACACGGGTGCGGGTGCGTCAATCAACTCTAGGGGGTTATAACAGACCAGACTGTCAGGGTATTAGTGTTGATACCATCCCCATGATCTCGCTGTCTGGGAGTTGTCATGTGGCTGGCTTTAGGGTGTTTCTTCGTCACAGCCTCTGGCCCTGGGAAGCAGATATCTGTGCATGGTTTTGTCTGAAATGGCACCCTATTCCCTATACGGTGTACTACTAACCAGAGCCCTGGACAAAAGTAGTGCGCTACACAGGAAATAGGGTGCAATTTTGGACGCACCCCATGGCTGTCACCTCAGTCACCATGGTAGTATGGCGGTGCTGATGCCCTGTGGTCATTGCTGATGTCCTGTTTGTACAGCTGAGACCGAGCGAGAGGGGGATACTGACCATCTGGACCTGGCCGGGCTACCCCAGAGGTCAGCCATCAGCGACAGCACCAACACACTGACCAGTGTGACCTCCAATACCTCTCCCGAGGGCAAGAAGAAGTCCAGGGGAATCAAGGCGCTCTTTGGAAAGTGAGTGTTAAAGATGATTGGTACAGAACCTCTTGATGACACTGGCCTAAGACATCAAAATAGAGTTTGGGATGCCTGGGTCATATTCATGATGCACCAAACAGAAAGAAACTAACTGAAAGGGAGCGACTACTTGAACTTGTCCAATACAAAATGCTTGTTTTCGTTTTCTGTTGCAAAACAATTAGCTATGGTGTGCGCTAATGAATACAACCCTGGTTAATCTTAATCTGATTTAGCACTCTGAAATATATCAGACTTTTGAAGAGCCTGATCAATTAAGCTTGCAATATAAGAAACAGAAACATGGGGATGTATTATTTTATTAAAAATAGCTTTCAGCAGTGGTAACCCCACCACTACCATTAGTTTGGAGTCATAAGTGCACAACTTTCAACCATGACTAGACTTAATTTATGTATCGTTTTTTTCCTTTTAAGGCTGAGGAGAAGTCAGTCCACAACGTTCAACCTGGATGACAACCTATCAGAGCCGGTTGAGTTCAAGAGAGGCGGAGTCCGAGCCACAGCTGGTCCCAGACTGGGCTGGTCCCGTGACCTACAGCAATCACCCAACAAGTTAGTGTGCATGTGGACTCACCTTGAATTAATGAGAAGCGAAAAGTTAGTGTGCGCAGTGCACTCCCCTAGAATAATGATGATAAGGAAGTTAAGTCTAAACTAGTTGGGTGTTGCGCACTACAATGTTCAAGTCATTCAGAAATATAAGCCAGTGTGTCCTAATTATCTCGCTTGTAGTGACCTGGACACCCCGTTTGCCCGCTGGTCCAAGGAGCAGGTGTGTGACTGGCTGCAGGAGCAGGGACTGGGGCTCTATCTGAACATGGCCACACATGTGGATCTCTTCTGGACAGACTCTGCTGCAGGCCTCACAGCAGGACCTAGAAAGGGTGAGTACTGAGCAGGAGAGATTGTATCTCAATGAGACTAACCTGTATGAATAAAGGTTAAATGAAACTAAAAAACACCTGGACACTGCAGTACAGCCAGATGTAATTTGTTATTGATCCCCCTGAGGCATTTTCGCCCCATTAGACTCAGAGTTGACGCAACCCTGGTTTAAAACACCTATAGGTGAAGTCAAAGCCAGAGGCTATGTATTATTGTACCGTACATTAAGGGCCTTAAAAATCGGACAAATAATCCTGTAAGGCAGCAATTCTCAACTGGTTGGTCAGAACCCAAATTTGAGTCGTGGGACATTTTGAATGGATCGCGGGTGTTTGAGTAAAAAGTTAGAGTATTAAAAGAATACTCCAGTCTGAACTTAGACTAAACAACTAAAACCAGGAAGAAAGTGATTAAATAATTGAATCTCTGAACTATTTTTCTTCAATCACAGTATTTTCAATATACACTGAGTGTACAAAACATTAGGAACTCCTTTCTAATATTTAGTTGTCCCCCCTTTTGCCCTCAACAGCCTCAGTTCGTTGGGGCATGGACTCTACAAGGTGTCGAAAGTGTTCGACAGGGATGCTGGCCCATGTTGACTCCAATGCTTCCCACAGTTGTCTCAAGTTGGCTCGATGTCCTTTGGGTGGTGGACCAATCTTGAAACACACGGGAAACTGTTGAGCGTGAAAAACTTAGGAGCGTTGCAGTTCTTGACACAGACCGGTGCGCCTGGCACCTACTACCATACCCTGTTCAAAGGCACTTTAATCTTCTGTCTTGCCCATTCACCCTCTGAATGGCACACATACACAATCCATGTCTCAAGGCTTATAAATCCTTCATTAACCTGTCTCCTCCCCTTCATCTACACTGATTGAATTGGATTTAACAAGTGACATCAATAAGGGATCATAGCTTTCACCTGCATTCACCTGGTCAGTCTATGTCATGGAAAGAGCAGGTGTTCTTAATGTTTTGTATACTCAGTGTAATTCATTCATTCATATAAAATTATTCTATATTATGGCAGAATTGTTGAAGCATGGTGCATCTCAGCATCAGATTTCATGTTCAGATTCCATACATGCCATCAAATATTCACAGCACTTTATTTTGAACCTTCCTCTGTTTGAACTATGTAGCCACTCTGGCAAAACATACTGTACTTGGTAAGCTGTTGAAAGCAGTTCATCAAATGGATGGAAATAATCCTTGTTGTCAAGCTAACTGTGTCTCTGTTCTGGCCTGGGGGTGTGGGGTATAATACACTGACTCTGGGTGGTTGTTATCTGTGTGTGTGTGTTTAGGAGCTGGGCATCAAACACCTGCTGCACAGGAAGAAGCTCCAACTGGCCCTGCAGGCTCTGGGATCTGAGGAGGACGACAACAAGGGCAAACTGGACTACAACTGGGTGACCAGTGAGTAGATGAATGGGAGTCAAGGTTTTATACTGGGGTTTCACTATGCCTTACGTCATCTCATGTTGTCTAAATGATATGGTGGGCATTTCGAATGAATTGTAATCTAGTTAACTAGTTATACATTTGATTCAAGTGCTCTCAAAATGCAAGTTTGATTGTTTGATTTCTAATGGCGAAATTGACTGGCAGGTTGGCAGATCCCCTCTCACCCCCTCACCCTTCCTCGCCCTCTCTCTCGCCTCCTCTCCCCTTCTCTCGTCTCCTTCCTCAGGGTGGCTGGATGACATTGGCCTGCCTCAGTATAAGACCCAGTTTGATGAGGGGAGGGTGGACGGCCGCATGCTGCACTACATGACAGTAGTGAGTGTCACACACACACAAACATTCCTGTCCTCAGGCCATGCATGGATGGGTCTGATCAGAGCCAAAGATAGAGATATATACCGTATGGCTCTGGGCCTAATGATCACACTGCTAGTTCACATTAGGCTGAACAGACTGTACAGCATGGATTAGTAACACTGGAGAAGGCCTCGTCTCACCCTGTATGGACACAATCACTACACAATGGCTTGATATAAGACGGCTCACAAAAACACTAGCCATGCACCACACTACAATTCGTTTTTTTCAATCGCTTTCGTTCAATTTTCACAAGTATGTGGTACATTTTTACAACGCTTAATATAAAACTCAAAACAGATCATCAAACTGTCACTTTTTCACCAAACTTAATCATTGTTTCATCTAGAAATACATGTTTCACATTGCAATTCATATAAAGTCATTACTTTTCGCAATGCTCACATTACTTTTGATATGATTGTCTTCTCATTTGTGAAAATACATTTAGCTATTATTTAATCTGACTGCTCTTAAAGCTGTAATATGTAACTTTTTGGGCGACCTGACCAAATCCGCATATAAATGTCAGTTATAGATCCATTCTTCTCATTGAACGAAAGTCTAAGATGTGGTAGATCTGTTCTATGTGAGCTGTTTCTATGCTTCCCTTAAGTTTCGTTTTTGCGTCTTCTACTTTTGGTTTTGTACACCAGCTTCAAACAGCTGAATTGACAATATTTGTAGTTATTAAAAAGGTATTTCACTGCGTTTTAGATGGTACAATGATTCTCTACACTATACATTTCTTGTTTTGTCACAAACTGAAATTAGGCAAACTATTAGAATTTTTGCAACCAGGAAATGGCTGAATGATTTCTGCATATTATACCTTTCACCTTTAATTTATAATTACTAAACCACTTGGTAAACATATTAGGCTTGGGCGGTATCCAAATTGTCATACATTCATACCGACCTTGTGCCATACTGGGATATTTGGTAATACTGTCACTGAACACAAGGGGCGGTGTTTTCAAACAACTGAGGCGCTGTAATCCAAAGGTTAGCAATGCTAATAGGTACATGTAAAATCCCATCAAGAATGCTAACTAAATGCTAATGAGTGCAGTGTGAACATTTTATAGTCTCTGACCTAAACTATACAAGTATGCAGGTCACTTAAAAATGCTACACAGTTTGCTGCACGCACAAAACAAATATTAGACAGTAAAGCTCTTGATCCAGGAGGGGATTCTCGGCTGTTACCAAGCCAAATTTGATTTTGGAAGAAGCTAACCACTTAGCTAGATAGCCAACTATACTGAACAAAAATATAAACGCATGCATGTGAAGTGTTGGTCCCATGTTTCATGAGCTGAAATAAAAGATCACAGACATTTTTTATACGCACAATAAAGCTTATTTCTCTCAAATTCTGTGCATAAATTTGTTTACATGCCTGTTAGTGAGCATTTCTCCTTTGCCAAGATAATCCATCCACCTGACAGGTGTGGCATATCAAGAAGCTGATTAAACAGCATTCTCATTACCTAGGTGCACCTTGTGCTGGGGACAATAAAAGGCCACTCTAAAATGTGTAGTTTTGTCACACAACACAATGCCACAGATGGCTCAAGTTTTGAGGGAGCGTGCAATTGGCTTGCTGACTGCAGGAATGTCCTCCAGAGCTATTGCCAGAGAATTTAAAGTTAAGTCGCCTCCAATGTCGTTTTAGAGAATTTAGCAATATGTTTAACCGGTCTCACAACCACAGACCACGTGTAACCATGCCTATGCCCTCCCAGGCTGCGTCCCTGCCCAGTCATGTGAAATCCATAGATGTGGGCCTAATTAATGTATTTCTATTAACTGATTTCCTTATATGAACTGTAACAGTAAAATCTTTGTTGCATGTTGCATTTATATTTTTGTTCAGTGTGTGTGTGTGTGTGTGTGTGTGTGTGTGTGTGTGTATGTATATATATATAATACACATACATACATACATACATACAGTGGGGAGAACAAGTACAGTGGGGAAAAAAAGTATTTAGTCAGCCACCAATTGTGCAAGTTCTCCCACTTAAAAAGATGAGAGAGGCCTGCAATTTTCATCATAGGTACACGTCAACTATGACAGACAAAATGAGATTTTTTTTTCTCCAGAAAATCACATTGTAGGATTTTTAATGAATTTATTTGCAAATTATGGTGGAAAATAAGTATTTGGTCAATAACAAACGTTTCTCAATACTTTGTTATATACCCTTTGTTGGCAATGACACAGGTCAAACGTTTTCTGTAAGTCTTCACAAGGTTTTCACACACTGTTGCTGGTATTTTGGCCCATTCCTCCATGCAGATCTCCTCTAGAGCAGTGATGTTTTGGGCTGTCGCTGGGCAACACGGACTTTCAACTCCCTCCAAATATTTTCTATGGGGTTGAGATCTGGAGACTGGCTAGGCCACTGCAGGTCCTTGAAATGCTTCTTACGAAGCCACTCCTTCGTTGCCCGGGCGGTGTGTTTGGGATCATTGTCATGCTGAAAGACCCAGCCACGTTTCATCTTCAATGCCCTTGCTGATGGAAGGAGGTTTTCACTCAAAATCTCACGATACATGGCCCCATTCATTCTTTCCTTTACACGGATCAGTCGTCCTGGTCCCTTGCAGAAAAACAGCCCCAAAGCATGATGTTTCCACCCCCATGCTTCACAGTAGGTATGGTGTTCTTTGAATGCAACTCAGCATTATTTGTCCTCCAAACACGATGAGTTGAGTTTTTACCAAAAAGTTATATTTTGGTTTCATCTGACCATATGACATTCTCCAATCCTCTTCTGGATCATCCAAATGCACTCTAGCAAACTTCAGACGGGCCTGGACATGTACTGGCTTAAGCAGGGGGACATGTCTGGCACTGCAGGATTTGAGTCCCTGGCGGCGTAGTGTGTTACTGATGGTAGGCTTTGTTACTTTGGTCCCAGCTCTCTGCAGGTCATTCACTAGGTCCCCCCGTGTGGTTCTGGGATTTTTGCTCACCGTTCTTGTGATAATTTTGACCCCACGGGGTGAGATCTTGCGTGGAGCCCCAGATCGAGGGAGATTATCAGTGGTCTTGTATGTCTTCCATTTCCTGATAATTGCTCCCACAGTTGATTTCTTCAAACCAAGCTGCTTACCTATTGCAGATTCAGTCTTCCCAGCCTGGTGCAGGTCTACAATTTTGTTTCTAGTGTCCTTTGACAGCTCTTTGGTCTTGGCCATAGTGGAGTTTGGAGTGTGACTGTTTGAGGTTGTGGACAGGTGTCTTTTATACTGATAACAAGTTCAAACAGGTGCCATTAATACAGGTAACGAGTGGAGGACAGAGGAGCCTCTTAAATAAGAAATTACATGTCTGTGAGAGCCAGAAATCTTGCTTGTTTGTAGGTGACCAAATACTTATTTTCCACCATAATTTGCAAATAAATTCATTAAAAATCCTACAATGTGATTTTCTGGATTTATTTTTCTCAATTTGTTTGTCATAGTTGACGTGTACCTATGATGAAAATTACAGGCCTCTCATATTTTTAAGTGGGAGAACTTGCACAATTGGTGGCTGACTAAATATTTTTTTTCCCCCACTGTATTTGATACACTGCCGATTTTGCAGGTTTTCCTACTTACAAAGCATGTAGAGGTCTGTAATTTTTATAATAGGTACACTTCAACTGTGAGAGACGGAATCTAAAACAATAATCCAGAAAATCCCATTGTATGATTTCTAAATAATTAATTTGCATTTTATTGCATGACATAAGTATTTGATCACCTACCAACCAGTAAGAATTCCGGCTCTCACAGACATGTTAGTTTTTCTTTAAGAAGCCCTCCTGTTCTCCACTCATTACCTGTATTAACTGCACCTTTTTGAACTCGTTACCTGTATAAAAGACACCTGTCCACACACACAATCAAACAGACTCCAACCTCTCCACAATGGCCAAGACCAGAGAGCTGTGTTAAGACATCAGGGATAAAATTGTAGACCTGCACAAGGCTGGGATGGGCTACAGGACAATAGGCAAGCAGCTTGGTGAGAAGGCAACAACTGTTGGCGCAATTATTAGAAAATGGAAGAAGTTCAAGACGACGGTCAATCACCCTCGGTCTGGGGCTCCATGCAAGATCTCACCTCGTGGGGCATCAATGATCATGAGGAAGGTGAGGGATCAGCCCAGAACTACACGGCAGGACCTGGTCAATGACCTGAAGAGAGCTGGGACCACAGTCTCAAAGACAACCATTAGTAACACACTACGCCGGCATGGATTAAAATCCTGCAGCGCACGCAAGGTCCCCCTGCTCAAGCCAGCGTATGTCCAGGCCCGTCTGAAGTTTGCCAATGACCATCTGGATGATCCAGAGGAGGAATGGGAGAAGGTCATGTGGTCTGATGAGACAAAAATAGAGCTTTTTGGTCTAATCTCCACTCGCCGTGTTTGGAGGAAGAAGAAGGATGAGTACAACCCCAAGAACAGAACACCATCCCAACCATGAAGCATGAAGGTGGAAACATCATTCTTTGGGGATGCTTTTCTGCAAAGGGGACAGGACGTCTGCACCATATTGAGGGGAGGATGGATGGGGCCATGTATCGCGAGATCTTGGCCAACAACCTCCTTCCCTCAGTAAGACCATTGAAGATGGGTCGTGGCTGGGTCTTCCAGCATGACAACGACCCGAAACACACAGCCAGGGCAACTAAGGAGTGGCTCCGTAATAAGCATCTCAAGGTCCTGGAGTGGCCTAGCCAGTCTCCAGACCTGAACCCAATAGACAATCTTTGGAGGGAGCTGAAAGTCCGTATTGCCCAGCGACAGCCCCAAAACCTGAAGGATCTGGAGAAGGTCTGTATGGAGGAGTGGGCCAAAATCCCTGCTGCAGTGTGTGCAAACCTGGTCAAGAACTACAGGAAACGTATGATCTCTGTAATTGCAAACAAAGGTTTCTGTACCAAATATTAAGTTCTGCTTTTCTGATGTATCAAATACTTATGTCATGCAATAAAATGCAAATGAATTACTTAAAAATCATACAATGTGATTTTCTGGATTTTTGTTTTAGATTCCGTCTCTCACAGTTGAAGTGTACCTATGATAACAATTACAGACCTCTACATGCTTTGTAAGTAGGAAAACCTGCAAAATCAGCAGTGTATCAAATACTTGTTCTCCCCACTGTGTGTGTGTATATATATATATATATATATATACTGTAATGTACTATTATGATGACTATTATGATTTTACTGGTTTAAAGAAATCTGATATCAACAAGATCTTTATGTAACAAATGCATCCCCTATACAGTAAACATCAATCCAAAATTGAGTTGCTGAGGTGTTTTTGATGGGGGGGTTTACACTGCTTTACTCAAATGTAATTGGCCAATACAGTACTTTAATACTGTAAAATATGCCATTTACTTAGGAGATGGTTTTATCCAAAGGGACAACAGTGAGTCCATATGCTTTCGCATGGGAATCATAAGTACAATACTGTAAAATACACTGCTCAAAAAAATAAAGGGAACACTAAAATAACACATCCTAGATCTGAATCAATTAAATAATCATATTAAATACTTTTTTCTTTACATAGTTGAATGTGCTGACAACAAAATCACACAAAAATTATCAATGGAAATCAAATGTATCAACCCATGGAGGTCTGTATTTGGAGTCACCCTCAAAATTAAAGTGGAAAACCACACTACAGGCTGATCCAACTTTGATGTAATGTCCTTAAAACAAGTCAAAATGAGGCTCAGTAGTGTGTGTGGCCTCCACGTGCCTGTATGACCTCCCTACAACGCCTGGGCTTGCTCCTGATGAGGTGGCGGATGGTCTCCTGAGGGATCTCCTCCCAGACCTGGACTAAAGCATCCGCCAACTCCTGGACAGTCTGTGGTGCAACGTGGCGTTGGTGGATGGAGCGAGACATGATGTCCCAGATGTGCTCAATTGGATTCAGGTCTGGGGAACGGGCGGTCCATAGCATCAATGCCTTCCTCTTGCAGGAACTGCTGACACACTCCAGCCACATGAGGTCTAGCATTGTCTTGCATTAGGAGGAACCCAGGGCCAACCGCACCAGCATATGGTCTCACAAGGGGTCTGAGGATCTCATCTCAGTACCTAATGGCAGTCAGGCTACCTCTGGCGAGCACATGGAGGGCTGTGCGGCCCCCCCAAACAAATGCCACCCCACACCATGACTGACCCACCGCCAAACCGGTCATGCTGGAGGATGTTGCAGGCAGCAGAACGTTCTCCACGGCGTCTCCAGACTCTGTCACGTCTGTCACATGTGCTCAGTGTGAACCTGCTTTCATCTGTGAAGAGCACAGGGCGCCAGTGGCGAATTTGCCAATCTTGGTGTTCTCTGGCAAATGCCAAACGTCCTGCACGGTGTTGGGCTGTAAGCACAACCCCCACCTGTGGACGTCGGGCCCTCATACCACCCTCATGGAGTCTGTTTCTGACCGTTTGAGCAGACACATGCACATTTGTGGCCTGCTGGAGGTCATTTTGCAGGGCTCTGGCAGTACTCCTCCTACTCCTCCTTGCACAAAGGCGGAGGTAGCAGTCCTGCTGCTGGGTTGTTGCCCTCCTACGGCCTCCTCCACGTCTCCTGATGTACTGGCCTGTCTCCTGGTAGCGCCTCCATGCTCTGGACACTACGCTGACAGACACAGCAAACCTTCTTGCCACAGCTCGCATTGATGTGCCATCCTGGATGAGCTGCACTACCTGAGCCACTTGTGTGGGTTGTAGACTCCGTCTCATGCTACCACTAGAGTGAAAGCACCGCCAGCATTCAAAAGTGACCAAAACATCAGCCAGGAAGCATAGGAACTGAGAAGTGGTCTGTGGTCACCAACTGCAAAACCAGTCCTTTATTGGGGGTGTCTTGCTAATTGCCTATAATTTCCACCTGTTGTCTATTCCATTTGCACAACAGCATGTGAAATGTATTGTCAATCAGTGTTGCTTCCTAAGTGGACAGTTTGATTTCACAGAAGTGTGATTGACTTGGAGTTACATTGTGTTGTTTAAGTGTTCCCTTTATTTTTTTGAGCAGTGTACAATGCATGATTACAATCCAGGTAGAAGGTGTATGATTGCCATCCCTATTAGCGGGCGACCCTCCTCCAGGCCATGGCTGAGGCATGCGATGACATCAATCCAGACCAATGTCAGGCTTGGATTCGCCATGCCAAAAGGTTTTTCCCCAGGTGAATGAACAATGTGGACATTGACTGCAATGTCGATGAGAACCTATGGCAGAGAGTAGCGTTAGAGTGCTTGATGCAAACTAGTGCCTGCTAAACGTTATGTTTCTTTCATTCCTTTCATTTGTTTAATGTGTTACAGTACACCTATGTTGCAATTATACACTAAGTGTACAAAACATTATGAACACCTGCTCTTTCCATGACATAGACTGACCAGGTGAATCCAGGTGAAAGCTATAATCCCTTATTGATGTCACTTGTTAAATCCACTTCAATCAGTGTAGATGAAGGGGAGGACACAAGTTATAGAATTATTTTTAAGCCTTGAGACAATTGAAACATGGATAGTGTATGCATGCCATTCAGAGGGTGAATGGGCAAGACAAAATATTTAAGTGCCTTTGAACGGTGTATGGTAGTAGGTGTCAGGTGCACCGGTTTGTGTCAAGAACTGCAACACTGCTGGGTTTTCACACTCAACAGTTTCCCATTTGTATCAATAATGGTCCACCACCCAATGGACATCTCATTAGGAAGGTGTTCTTAATGTTTTGTACACTCAGTGTATCTGAACAATACATTTAAAAAATTTGCATCAATGATTGTGAAAAATGTCTTTAAAGACCACACGTTTGATCACACATGGGATAGAAATTATGGAAATTATATTTTCAGTCAATTTTGATGGGTAGTGCAAGTGCATTGCCTACAGTGAAAACAGTGTAATATACTATAAGTTGCAGTACTGTAGCATATTACATTCAAAGGGCAATTTTCAAAGATGTAGCTTTTATTTTTTGTTATTGGATTAACTCGTTAAAACAACTAAATTGAGAAAATTGTTGTGTTTCAGTGATTAAATCAATCTTCTCATGGTATTTCACAGTAAAACCTATATTTTGAACATTAGACTCGCTGCGTTACAAGTGTTACCAGTTTGGCATTTTGTACTAAGAGTTTTGAAGATTCACCGAATACTTGTGAAAATGGCACCAAAGCGATTGAAAAAAAAAACGGTTATCTTGATATTACTTCGGTCAAGACAATCAAGTAGAATCTCATCAGATTATATGACTTTACCTGCTGGGTGGTTATTTTTTTCTTTGCGCAATGAAAAACTCATCACTAACTCCTGACAGCTTTTTCCGTCTGACCTGACATATTACTCTTGTTAACATTTCTTGTTCCTGTGTGTCCTCTGTCAGGATGACCTGCTGTCTCTGAAGGTGGGCAGTGTGCTCCACCACCTCAGCATCAAGAGAGCCATTCAGGTGCTGCGCCTCAACAACTACGAGCCCAACTGCCTGCGCCGACGGCCCTCCGATGAGGTAGGGCCACTGGATCACTGGTAGTTTTCATTAGGCAACAAACCAAAGAAAACGGACTGAAATAGGGCTGATTTTTGCTTTCCGTTGCAAATGTTTTAAATCGTTTTCTGGTGTGTGCCCTAATGAACACAACCCTGGTTCCAGGCATTCATGAACACTTGTCAATGCTACTGTTACTGTTGTGAAGGCTCATGTCCTCACCCATAACCTCTGGCCATGTCCCTCCCTTGCCACTCACCTCACCTGTCTCACTTTGCTCATTAGCACCCTTGACTATTTAAGCAGCAGTTTCTCCCTCCAGTATTCCTTATTACTGTTGGTGAATGCATGGGGCAGCCAACTTGTTTTTTCCTTTCCATGTTGTGCGTGATGGACAATAAACATGTTGAGCTCCTGTTGGAGAAACTCCCCACTGAGCAGTTTAGCGAATTCAAGCATTTCATCTGTATATCCAACACAGGTGCTATATCCTACAACCTACCAGACTTTGCCACCTGGCTCCAGGCAGAGGTGCCTGCCTAGACACAGAACAGCGTCAGGTCAACAGCGTCACTCAGGGCAACACCATCACTCCCCTCGCAGGTCCATCCAAGGCACTAAATCTTCCATACCAGACTGGTCAGCCATCATCACCCCGTATACCCACATGTGCACACTGCTATTCTGCTGATCACCTCATTAGTAGATGTGCACACTTCAGCCAGATGACCAATGACCAGAAGGAAAACTGCATCCAGAACCTCAAGAGATGCTGACGCTGTGCCCGAAACCATCAAGCTTCAAAATGCGACCTATCCACAACATTATCCTGCATCCTTTAAATCAAATCAACAACAAAAAATTGCCACATGCGGCGAATACAACAGGTGTAGACATTACAGTGAAATGCTTACTTACAAGCCCTTAACCAACAATGCATTTAAAAAAATGTTTTGAGGTAATATGTACATGTGGGTAAACTTAAAGTGACTATGCATAAATAATAAACAGAGTAGCAGCAGCGTAAAAGGTGGGGGTGGGGGGGCAGTGCAAATAGTCCGGGTAGCAATGATTAGCTGTTCAGGAGTCTTATGGCTTGGGGGTAGAAGCTGTTGAGAAGCCTTTTGCTTGCCGTGCGGTAGCAGAGAGAACAGTCTATGACTAGGGTGGCTGGAGTCTTTGACAATTTTGACACTGCCTGGTATAGAGGTCCTGGATGGTAGGAAGCTTGGCCCCAGTGAAGTACTGGGCCGTACGCACTACCCTCTGTAGTGCCTTGCGGTCGGAGGCCGAGCAGTTGCCATACCAGGCGGTGATGCAACCAGTCAGGATGCTCTCGATGGTGCAGCTGTAGAACTTTGTGAGGATCTGAGGACCCATGCCAAATCTTTTCAGTCTCCTGAGGGGGAATAGGCTTTGTCGTGCCCTCTTCACGACTGTCTTGGTGTGTTTGGACCATGATAGTTCGTTGGTGATGTGCACACCAAGGAACTTGAAGCTCTCAACCTGTTCCACTACAGCCCTGTCGATGAGAATGGGGGCGTGCTCAGTCCTCTTTTTTTCCCCCTGTAGTCCACAATCATCTCCTTTGTCTTGATCATGTTGAGGGAGAGGTTGTTATCCTGGCACCACACGGCCAGGTCTCTGACCTCCTCTCTATAGGCTGTCTCATCGTTGTCGGTGATCAGGCCTACCACTGTTGTGTCGTCAGCAAACTTAATGATGGTGTTGGAGTCGTGCCTGGCCATGCAGTCATGGGTGAACAGGGAGTACAGGAGGGGACTGAGCACGCACCTCTGAGGGGCCCCCGTGTTGAGGATCAGCGTGGCAGATGTGTTGTTACCTACCTCATGTGTTTGTGTGCAATAAAACCCCACTATTTGGATTCCTGCGTCATCTCGTTTCATCTGCATTCTTATCGATGCGCCATGGTGGCACTTTGAACTCTGAACCAGTCAAACCTCCTTATACAGTCCACCCTTTCTATAGTTACTGTACCGTCCCCTTTTTGTCGTTCTCCACTTCTTCAAGCTACACAAGTGTTATCAAATCCTGTCGCTCAGTCATTTGTTCTGTTGATAAACATTATTTTCTCTGTCTCCTGATTGGTCAGAACAACATCACACCAGCAGAGATCTCCCAGTGGACCAATCACAGAGTAATGGAGTGGCTGAGATCAGTAGACCTGGCGGAGTACGCCCCCAACCTGAGGGGCAGCGGCGTCCACGGGGGACTCATGGTGAGAAAGAATGATCCAATTCATTTTTTTTTTTTTTTTTTTACTGCTTCAGTTTAAACTTTAATGACTAAAACCAGATAGACTGCGTAGAAATTACAGTGGGTTATTTCATCATTGAAACGTTGAATATTTTTTATTTTATCTTACAATGAGAAAATCTATCCCACATCTCACAATGTTGCCTCTTCCCCCAGGTGCTGGAGCCTCGGTTCAACGTGGAGACCATGGCCCTGCTGCTGAACATTCCCCCCAACAAGACACTGCTGCGGAGGCACCTGGCCACCCACTTCAACCTGCTGGTGGGCTCTGAGGCCCAGGGGCTCAAACAGGAGTGTCTGGAGAACCCTGACTACACCCTGCTCACCGCCACCGCCAAGGTCAAGGTAGGGGTCAAAAGTAGTGCACAATATAGGAAATAGGGTGCCATTTTGGATGCAGCCATGGTTTTACTGTAGGTGAGGAGTGATGGAGAAGGGGAAGACGTGGGTTTGGCTGTGGTAAGAATGGTTCTCATGTGTTTGATCTGGTTTTGGTTATGAACTTTAGTCTCAGTTGAGAAATAATCTGTTCCCACCAGCCGAGGAAGATGTCGTTTGGGAGCTTCGGCAGCCTGAGAAAGAAGAGGCAGGATGACAGTGAGGAGTATGTCTGCCCCATGGACGTGGAGATGCCAAAGGGACGTAGCTTCCAGAAAGGCTATGAACTCCAGCTCTACGAGGACGACCTGGACCGGCTAGAGCAGGTCAACTACTGGTCTGATCCCAGATCTGTTTGTGCTGTCTTGCCAACTCCTATGCTCATTGTTGGCAAGACATTTCTCTGTAGTGGTGGCATTGTGCTCAGTACACATAACAAGTCATCACATCAATACTTACATTCAACCTCCACCTTTAGATTGTTCTCTACTCAATGTTTAGAGTTTGCCTGTATTACATAGACCTTTCTGGTCATTCACTACCGTGACAGGAGATGGCAGCACTGTGCCTAGTTTGTGTATTCTTTCAGAGCAGCTGAACACTAACAGGGTTACTAACAGGTCTTCTTAGTAGTGGTGTTGAGTGTCAAACCTTATCTGTTATTATAGATGGAGGACTCAGAGGGAACTGTGAGGCAGATCGGAGCCTTCTCTGAGGGCATCCAAAACTTGACGGTATGAAGGAATCTATCTTATTTTTTTCCTGATTTAACTGTGCTTGAGTGTTATGTTGATATGGTTTGTGGCTAACAGTAGGTCACACTATATTTGGATAGTCCCATATAGATGATCTACAGATGTTCATACGATCAACAAACTATCTGTTGATAAGCAACTGCTTGCTAAGGTAACGGTTAAGTTTAGGGTAAGGGTTAAGGTTGAGGCTTAGGGTTAGTGGATAGTTAGTTCAAATGTTGTTGACAGAGTATTGAACATCTCTAAAACATCTACTAGGGACTATCCAAATAGTTGTACCTAACAATATTTTAGGGTATAAGAGGCCTTTGTGACATAAATATAACTATGGGCATATTTCAGTGGGGTTCTTACATTTCTTCTCTAGTATTAATTCCTCTTTTCCTGCATTTCCTGACGGTTTCCAGAGCATGCTGAAAGATGATGAATTCTTCAAAGAGATCTCTAACTCTCCCAACCCCAGCGTAACAGATGACGATTCCAACGTGTGAGGCCAGCGCCATGGGACTAGCAGACCGGGATTAAAATACTATTTGAAACAATTTAAAATACTTTAGCTGTGCTTGATTGAGCTTGCCTGTTGGAATGGAATGCAATGGGAATAGAAAAGTCCCAAAAGTGGCACTCCACTCAAAGTATTTGAAAGAGTTCAAGTATTTGAACCCAGGTCTGCCACTAGCACACACTCAGACTCCACCGTACCCCCCAACAAGCACCAGATCTCCTTTTAGTATTTTAGATTAGGCATAATATTTCTTAATTTTTTAAGGAATTAAAAAGTCCATGTCTTGTGTCTTGTGAACTGATACACTCCTCTTGTTTTTTTTTAAGGTGCTCTCAAAGCTAAAATACCACCACTGTAGGATTAACAATTCAACTCGCCCCTGCCTACCCAATAGCAGTTCAGTTATCAATCCTCATTAATCCCTACAGATCTGATAGATGCCGCTCTGCCTTACCACTGAGCTAGCCTACAGCTAGGGACTGTTCCTCAAGCTCAACAGTAAGGGCCTTACAGTAAAGTGGGCCATCCCCGAAGTAGAGTGCTTATGCTCCCTAACCCTGAACCTTATAAACCCGGCGCCTTCTCAGGATCGTCCGGGCCAGAGTGTCAACTTCGGCACACTATGAGCAGGTCACCATCCTCTGGGTTGGCTTTTAGCCCAGAGACCCCTCCCTACAACTCCTACCAATGAACTCAGTACCTATAGTCCCAATCAATCACAAATCAATAATAAGCAAAAATTGACAGTAAATTAAATTGATAGACAACCTTCAGCGCCCTTAACTAAACCCCTGTTGGGGTGTGCCAATAAAATGTTTTTTGTCTGTGACAGTTTTATGAGAAGGACAATATTTAATAACAAGAAACAGTTTTTTACCTAAACAGTTTTTTGACTCCCCCCTCAGGATGATCAGTCCCTCAGACGGCATCTAGAAACTCTAACAGCTACTTTACCACACCTCTATCAATGAGGTAACCTTAAGGATTCCTCCTAGAATTTTACTTTTAACTGGGTATAATACAAATTTCAATATAAGTATACTAAAAAAAAAACATTGTAGGCTAAAAGGCTAAAGCAAAAATCTTCTTCCAGCAGTCAACAGACTATTCTGGCAAGCTCAAAGAGAGTCCTTCTCTCCCAAAAACCATAGCTGTTTTATACCCTCCCTTTTTCTTTCTGCTAACTCATTGTGGTTAACGCCTACCCCAATGACGCATCCAGTGGTTAACACCTAATGCGGCCATCGTTAAAAAATGTGCTTTTTCAGCCCCCTTAACTCCCACTTTTTTTTCACCTAAGCAGGACGTCCATCCGCTTCACCCCTAACCGTTCTAACTTGGAGATTTCCAGGTCAAGCTAACATCCTTAATATACCTTATTAACCAAACATTTTTTAACATTACCATTCCCCACTTGGCCCCATTACAATCCCTCTCCAACCTAAACTAATTACTCCCATTACCTCTTAAATATCCAACAAATTGAACATTTAATCATTACAACATTTCAACATTATAGCCTTCCATTATCAACCTCCTACAGGCCCTAAGGCCTTGTTCGTCTAAGCTTAACAAACAGTCTGTATGCATCATACCTTAAAGCAAACAACATTATAACATTAACTATTTTACTGCATTACTTTAATCACACATTGTTAACCCTCTTACTGCATTACTCTAATCACCCTTTAATAATATCTTCCACTATATATTTCCCCATGATTTCAAAATGTAACATATTTAACCTTTAATCATCAATTAATTTATTTTACTTATTTTCCTTAGTCAATGTCAATTCTCTCTCAATGTTCATCCTTTGTGCTCTGTGTGAGTGTGTGTGTGGGCGTATGCAAATGTCTCTCTAAAATGTCACAGAGAACTGGGCCTTAGCCTACTACTCTTGACAGTGCAATTCCATTTTAACTGGCCTGTTGGGAGAGGAATTATTTCAGAGCAATATGCCACCATAGTTTGCCTACCAGCTGGATACTGGAGACATTTGTACTCATTGTTTTTATACTGGCCATCTTTCTGTGGAATTTAAATATTAAAGTGAGCCATATCAATATCTGAAACCCTTTTTTTACATTAAGATGTACTGTAGTTTTAAAGAATATGTTTGGCTTTTTAACCGAGTCACTGTCAGAGAAAAAAAATATTGTTATATGCTGGCAAGATTTGCCCAAGTTAAATTAATGCCCCAAAACAGCTGATATTTATATTTAACTAGGCAAGTCAGTTAAGAACAAATTCTTATTTACAATGATGGCCTACACCGGCCAAACCCGGACAACGCTGGGCCAATTGTGCACCGCCCTATGGGACTCCCAATCACGGCCGGATGTGATACAGCCTGGAATCGAACCAGGGGGTCTGTAGTGACACCTCAAGCACTGAGATGCAGTGCCTTAGACCGCTGCGCCACTCGGGAGCAGAAAACAAGACTAATTTAGCTGCAACATTTCTTTCAACATATCCTGCCATATCCTAGACAATCACAGTAATGGTATTTCTTTGAATGCATTTGCACCAATAATGTACAGTTCAATGCATATAATTCCTTTTTAAGTCTCATCATTGCATGTTATTGAAGCCTTTGTTGTAGCCAAAATGTAGTACACCTGCTAACGGAATATGGACTTTTGGTTTATTATCATTTGTACTGAGATAACTATTCATAAATATTGCCAGATAGCATAGTTATTTTGAGAATACTGTAGCTATCTTAGGTGCCAGTCTGTTTCTGCTCTCTTGCCAACTCCTTATGGAATTGGATTGGCAAGAGAACAGAAAGTGACTGGCACCCAGGCTAAGTTGTAGCATGTTCAAAGAGTTGAGCGATGAAGCAATGCAAGAATGTCTCAAAAGCAATGACACTGTTATGCAACACCCTAACCACATGAGAAGAAAGTTTGTACTATACTGGTTGAGTTTTTACCCATTTCTAAGTCAATAAATTAATTTAAACGGTCTGATGTTTGTCTAATTTCTCAAGTAGGCTTGGAAATGTAGAACATAACGCATATAGGTTTGTTTTGCAGTGCAGATTCATTACCATTTAAAAGCCTTTGCCTCTCCATGTTTGTACAGACCCTTATTTTTGTTAACACCAAGCAAATAAAGGGATACTTGACAGTCGCAGAACATTTGTACAGTAGTTGCCCAACTCGAACAACTTTGTATGCTGTTTCCTACTCTTTGTGCACTTTTAGTTAAAGGTTTGACAAGCCACTATTTGCAGAATGATGAACATAAACACATCTACACAGATATTAAAAGCAAAATAGAGGGTCAGGACAGGAGCATTGCAGCTCTCTCAGTTCTGTTCAGGCAGAAGTAGAGAAGGCTGCTGTGCCATGTTCTTCATGTAAAACTATAACTGAGCCACCTCATTCACAGCTGGCTGCTCTTGATGTAGTCTGGACAATGTATTTTACATGGCAATCACCTTGATCTTCCATCATGATACAGTGGCTTGCGAAAGTATTCACCCCCCTTGGCATTTTTCCTATTTTGTTGCCTTACAACCTGGAATTAAAATAGATTTTTTGGGGGTTTGTATCATTAGATTTATACAACATGCCTACCAATTTGAAGATGTGAAACAAACAAGAAATAATAAGAAAAAAAAACTGAACTTGAGCGTGCATAACTATTCAAATTGATTAATTAAATGAATGTTTGAGTGGTCTGTCCTGATTTATTTCATTTGGCAATGGGTTAAGAATAAAACTGTGAATGAGGATTCATACCTGTACTGTATTATAGTGGTGGAGATCAGCAATTTGCCTTGCATTTGAACAGTTGTTGACTATATAATTATGTGTAAACATGGGTAAGTCCAATTTACTGTAGCTGATTTTAATGCGTTATTATAAGTGCTCTAAGTAAAGCATTCAATTTCAAATATATATTATCTGTCACAATGTGTTTTCCCAAATTTGTACAGATTATATCAACAAGTTAAATGTTACTAAATATAATCGAAAATGTAATCCCCAAAAGTAATTATTTATAATGAGAGGGCCATAAACAATAATTCGCAATGCTGCACACTCAAAGAAAGGGTAAAATCTCAACTTTCTGGTAGAAATAGTTATAAATTGCTGAGGTGTAGTCACTTTTGAGGACACAAGCTCAACTACACAGTACAAATATGATGAAAATATGAAATATTTGATGTATTTCCTATTCAACAAAACTGTATGCATAAGGCTTGAAATTACTTACAGTGGGGAGAACAAGTATTTGATACACTGCCGATTTTGCAGGTTTTCCTACTTACAAAGCATGTAGAGGTCTGTAGTTTTTATCATAGGTACACTTCAATGACCATCTGGATGATCCAGAGGAGGAATGGGAGAAGGTCATGTGGTCTGATGAGACAAAAATAGAGCTTTTAGGTCTAAACTCCACTCGCCTTGTTTGGAGGAAGAAGAAGGATGAGTACAACCCCAAGAACACCATCCCAACCGTG